ACTACTAATACTACTAGGACTACTGCGACTACGACGACTACGACGACGACGACGACGACGACGACGACGACGACGACGACGACGACGACGACGACGACGACGACGACGACTACTACTACTACTACTGATACGACACTCCGTGTACCGTATGCCAGTGCATTGTAAATCCGTACGCCTCTACATGCGTGTTGCAATGGAAATTGCTTGTTATCCCATTGGGGTCCCGAACTTTCCAGCCTCCAGGGTGTGAGCACCCATGGCATCGTGTCAGTGGATACCCTCAAATGGTGCAAGAAGGTTCACGGCCAGCTGCACAAACTACATAATGTTGCGCTCCCACCAAAGCCCCCTGGAGGCCTGACGTTACCATAGGTCTTTAACAAAAAACCCAGGGATCGAGAGAGACAGAGGGGAAACGACAGAGAGGGGGATAGAGTGTCTCTTCGTTCTCGTATAACACGTCCTGCCCTGAAGTTAGTTCAACAGCTATTGGCCCCAACGAGGCAGCAATGAACAAGCAACGTCCAGGTAGCGAGCAGGAGGAGGACAAGGGTAGCAGGCCAGAGAAAGACAAGACAAACGAGTATTGTGAAGAAGCTCTGTGTAGGACATGGGCAACCCCCGCACTGGGGTGGACTCACAATCCATGCTGCCAAGGCTGGGAGTCCCTCTCCTGCGGCGATGGGGTCAATGGAGGATGAACAGGAGAATGTGGCGGAAGGTGATGCGGGGGAAGAGGAGGAGGAGGAGAAGGAGGAGGAGATGGGTAATTATGATGATGGCGATGACGACGATGATGCCGATGACGATGACGATGACGATGATGATGATGTTGTTGATGATGGTGGTGATGTTGGTGGTGGTGATGGTGTTGTTGATGGTGGGGATGCTGCTGTTGGTGATGATGATGGTGATGATGATGGTACGGATGATTATGTTGAATATGACGCTCATGCTGATGATGATACTGATGATGAGGTTGACGACGATTATGATGATGACGATGGTGATCATGAGCACGCTGATCAGGCTGATGATGATGACGAAGATGAGCATGAGGATCAGGAGGATGATGATGATGGTGGTGATGCTGATGATAATGACGTACATGATGCTGCTGTTGCTGCTGCTGATCATGGTGCTACTGATGCTGATGATGATAATGATGCTGATGATGATAGTGATGCTGCTGCTGCTGCTGCTGATCATGATGATGCTTATGATGATGGTGATGGCGATGGCAGACGACTGCGACGAGACGACATGGCGAGAAGTATTGGGCCAAGGATCTCGCCCCCCAGGGCAGGCAGTGGGGGCTCCAAGGACGCTTGAAATGTGCAGCCCCAGCGCGAGAGCCCTCCTCCCACCCCGGAGCCGCACGACCGCGACGGGGGAGGGACAAGACCCCCAGAGGCCCCAGAGAGGGGGAGGCAGGCCCTGTCCAGCCACCAGAGGCCACGGCGCCCAGGCGGGAGGAGCAGGACGACGAGCGGCAGGCCTGCGCCGTTGGGCCGTGGGGGGCTGCGGCCCAGCCCCATCCACCGACGGTTGCCGCTCGCCCGAGCCCGGCTCGTGGCGCGCTGCAGTGCCACAGGGGGAGCATCGAGGGCCAGCCATCGCCGCGCCCCGCCGGGCCACGGAGGCCGCCGCCGCCCGGGGAGCGGCGGGGCAGAGAGGCGGCCCTCCTCGGGAGGACCGAGGCCCGGGGGGAGCGCTCCCGAGCCCCCAGCTCACGCCCCGCCTCGGGAGCGGAGAAGAGGGGGGTGATGACTAGGGGCGGGGGGATCTCATGGCGCGGGCCGTGATGTTTCCCCAGATTTCAAGGCGCCTCTTCTCGTTTCATTGCGTCCCAGGCCCCCCCGCTGGGCCGCGCACATGCCGCCGGTCATGATTGGCCCCCCCCCTCCTGGACACCCCCCTCTTGGCCGCTCCCGACCGCTCGGGGTGCGGCAGCAGACAAGGAGCTACAGTGGGGGCCCGCAGCAAGACACCAGATGCTCTTCGCCAGGGCACCCTGGGTCTCTTCGCTCCGCGCGCAAGGGCGGTGACTTCCCGCGGCCGTGGAAGGAGCTGCTGCGCTCTGGGTGCTCTGGGCTTCTCGCCTCAGGTGCACCTCGCGGGCGGGTTCTCAGGGTTGGGTGGCTTGCAAGGGTTTCTTGCGGCCGCGCCCGCATTGTAAATCTGAGCAGCAGTGCATCATCAATCCCGGCGCGATCCAAACACATTGGGATGCTGCAGTGAAGCCTGATTGTGAGGATTGTGATGATGGGGATGGGGCCAGTGAAGAGGGGCGCGGGTCAGGCTACCGTGGATGGAGCTTTCTTTTTGCCCTCGATGGCACGTTGACGGGTCCCCGAATCGCCTTTCATTCCTTGCTTCTTCCGCGTCTCCCTCCACCTCGGCGGTTTCTTCCTCGGTCTCCGCCTCTATCCTCTATCCGTTTCCCGTGTGGTTCAGGCTCCTTCTGGTTCCTGACTTTGCCGGCCATCTGTCCGATAGGATGGACGACGTCTTCGTGACGCGGCACGGCGCCCGACTAGACAATGGCCCAGACCGGCAGGCGGGCTGGATGCAGAAGTTCGGGCTGCCACGGGACGACGCGCCCCTCTCTCCGCATGGGGAGACAGCGGCGATGGAGCTGGCGGCACGGATGGCCGAGCACAACGAGGAGATCCCAATCGCGCATGTAGTGTCGTCCCCCTTCATCAGGTGCAGATGACCGCCAGCACATTTCTGCTCCTACCCGGATGAAGTGCCAGAGTAAGGGTGCAGACCCACGCTGCTGTCTGCGCGTGGTCCACATGTGAGTTCGCCACCTCCTGAGGCTTATTGTGGGTCCACGCGTCTGGCATCCTTGTGCTACACCCTTACTCCTGGTGGATCTTCACTGTGCTCCTCAGCCGAGGTGCGTCCAGACTGCAAGCATCGTGGCGCAGACCCTCAGCCTGAGCGTCAAGGTCGAGCCAGGGATCTGCGAGATCCTGTCCACGTTCCCTCCAGGCTTCATGCGGCCAGAGGAGGCGAAGGAGAGGTTCGGCGCCGCGATCGACCTCGAGTACGAGCCCGTGGTGGATGCCGGCAGCCTGAGCCCCGAGTTCAGCGACGGCCAGGCAGCGACGCGCGCGGCGCGTGCGGCCAGCAAGGTGCGGGAAAATCTGGGCGGGCGCATCCTGGACGTCTACGAGTTGGCACCAGCGCCAGCAGCAGCGGCGGGCCGCGTCGGGAGAGGGCGAGCACTCCTCTTCGGGTGGGCGGCAATTTCTGGGGCCTTCCAGGGTGGGCCTCGCCTTCGCCGTCTCCTCGCCCTCGGCGGAAGCTGGCGCAAGGCCGGCGAACCGCGGCGGACGGACGGCGGGTCCGCTGGCGAATGCTCGGTGGAAGGCGGTGGGAGCATCACCGAGCAACATATCTGGATGCAGCTCAGCAGCTCAGAGGAGGGAGAGGTACCCCTACCTCTACCCCTCCCTCGTTTCCCCCGCTGTGGGGCTCCTGGGAGGACCTCGTCGCCACCGCAGGATTCGCCTCGAAATCATTGTCGGAACGCACCCCGGGAGAGGTCCGGGGAGTCGCGGTATCGGTACTTCTTGGATTTCCTCATCAGCGCTTCCAGAGTTGGGCATGTGGACAACCGAAGTGGCCTGACTGTTGACACCGCTGTCATCGGGACGTCGATGGAGGAGACCCCCGACTCTGGATGATGGTGTCAATGATGTAGGCGTCCTGGCATCCTCTTCTGTGGTCATGGCGCCTCCTGCCTGGGCATCGTGGAGGCCTTTGGGGGCTGCGGCTACATCGGGTACTGCTCCCTGTCCCGCTTTGCGCGGCAGGTGGAGGGGCGGCAGTGGAGCTGCGTGGGCGAGCAGGGGGACGTGTCGCACTTATCGGACAAGCGGACCTCGCTGAACAGCGCGTTCTGAGTGGGCTCAGGGCTCCCCCCGCCCTCGCCCCTGGTTCTCGCCATAGCGAACCCTGCCCCCCGTCCTCTCCGCCCTGCCAGTGGCTTTGGCACGGCCTCCTTCGCGCTCGACGCGAGCGGCAGGCAGCGCCAGGTACGGTGGTGGCGTCGAGCACGGGCCGTCTCCTAGTACGCAGGCGGCCTTGACAGCGCCGGGTGGCGAAGATGTAGACAGGGCCCTCTGGTGGCGAGATGGTGCAGCACGACCTACACCTTCACGTGCTAGAAGCCTCAGTGCGGGGGGCCTAGTTGAGAAAATAATGTGGGCCGCCATGCGTCTGCACAGACCAACACTGTGGCTGGCGGGTGGTAGGATGATTGGCAGTTCCGCTCATGGAGCACACTCTTCTCCTCTGCCACGTGAGCGGGCAGTTTGCTGACTCGAGTGGGCGTCGATATCTTGCAGACGTGGGCCCATCGATCTTCCCACCGTGCACTGGTTCCAGCTATGAGTGGACACAGTCAGTTAGTTGTTCGAGGGTAGTAGGCTGGTAGCACCAACACGTCGAGCAGCGAGGGGTGATGCCACAAAGGTCGTTCCAACGGCAGGGGGGCACAGGCCAGGTTTTGGCCACGATGGCCAATGACCAACCACCTGGACGACCACATTGTAAGGGTGTTCGCCATCATCAGGGACGTAGGCGGGGACGAGGACGTATGTCACGACTCGTACGAGTGGGTTCAGATGCGGCCAAACGCAATATACGGTCGTGGGATGTCGCATCGCATGCCGCAGAATCGGTCGAGACTAGCAGCGCGTTGTAATGGTGGCAGTAGGGAATGAACGCCCTCAAGCAGAGTAGAGATTTCTAGTGGATAGAAGATGGGAGAATATAACGAAGGCATATTAAATGTTGTGTGTGATGCTGAAATGCTTCGTGGACGCTTATACAGCGTAAATATCTCAATTCACTTGGTCCGAATGGCCTGAACAAGGCAAGGTCGAGAGCAACATCAGCAAATGGTAATCAAGTAACTCCTTTAATCACGGAAGTCTTGAACTTATTTTCAACAGCACCAGGATCCATCTCGATCGCATGAATTTCGAATGATGAAGCAACCCGGTCTACTCCACGCTTGGACGATCCATCACCGTTCTATCCTTCTTAGAGCGAAACAAACAATTGCAAGCACAAGCTCTGAACCACCAAACTCCATCATCAGTGTGATCGGCATCATTGCCTTTATCTGTGCGATCGGCATCATCGAACAGGGAAGGAAGGCGCGTCCGAATAGGAGGAAGAGGGAAGCTGGTATGGATACGCATGGAGTTGCCCTTGCGTGACTGGAACATCCTGCAATACTCCAGCCTATAGCAGCCTTTAGCCTGCTCTACGCTCTTAGCCCATGTGCGCGTTCAGTCCCACCGTTACCACATTCAAGATTGGCATCTGATCGACATCATCCAGGCGAGCGTGCTGCCAGGCATCATCGGCGGCGAGCGATGGGGGGAGGTGAGAAGGAGAGGGCCTTCTCGGAATGCGGCGGGACTTCTCAGAAGCACACTCGCGCCCTCTGAGAAGTTTTCGGTGTCTTCGAGGAAGGCTTAGAAAGCTTCTCAGAAGGCCTTGGGGCTTCCGGGCCTTCTGCCAAGGCCTTCTCATTCTCACTTCCCCAGGGCTCGTCGCCAAGTCGTTCTCATCGTCCCCCGGTGCCCCCTGCCTGGTCGCTGGCCCGCGGCGGGAGCCTCCAGGCCCCGTGGAGCCGTGGAAGCCGGGGTGCACGGGCGCGCTGGAGGAGGTGCGGAATTGCTCCGCCAGGGCCAGCTGCGTGGATGCGGACCGCGGCTGGAAAAGGGGGGGATCCAGTAGCAAATCATGGGAGCCTGGCGTCCCCTCTGATCTCCGTCTTTAGCGTGGTCTAGCGTCGATGAGCGTCTGGGAGTCGATGAGGCAGCGCCGATTTAGCGTCGGCCAGCGTCGATTGGCGTTGCAACGCAAGAGCCGACAAGATGGCAGAGGCTCCCATGAGTTGCCGCCGAAACATGGGGAAGCGGGAGGGCAGCGCTCGATCAGCGGCGGAGTGCCCTGGTGCGCCTGCGTCCGCAGCAGGGAGGTGGCCTGGCACTGTCTTCGGGAGTCGTGCTCTCGCCGGAACGCTGGCTGCACTCGTGGTTCGGACGGCCATGACCTCTCTGGATACAACAAGTCAAGCAGGTGCACAGGGCCGTGCCCTCACGACTGTCTCGCATGTGGGCTTCCCCAGGGATCCCCAGGGATGCCCAGGCATGCGCGTTCGACCTCCGTTGTCACCAGCCGGCGTTCTGCTCCCCGACCCGCCTCCTCGGCTGTGCTGCTATCGGGGTGCTTTGCTCGGATCGTTGACATCGCTGTTGATTCCCAGATTCACATCTCATCGCCCCCAGTCATGGAATGCTCGGTCGGTGTGAGCGCTCCTTGCCCGCCGCCTCTCGGGGGGACCGAAATGGATACGGAACTGATGGGTATAACGCCCAACAGCAGTGTTGTTCATTGTGTGAACCGGGTTCGCTGTCGGCGGGCTGGCGGTTGTTGTTGATTTGATACACAAGCTCCCCTGGCCAACAGCGGCCGCTGTCGGTGTTGGACAGCATTTGTTGACGGGCATCGTACCCCTTTTCTTCGTACCCCTTTTCGGGCGCTTTTCGGGCGTCTCCCCACCCCCACCCTTCCACGATTTCTGAGGGGGGGGAGGTTCACTTCGTGCGGGAGCTCCCGAGCGGAGCGAACCCCCACCCCCCTCTGTAGATAGAAGTCGTGGGGGGCGGGGGTACAGTGCCGTTTTTTATACATGCTCCGCGTGCGGATCATGCATTAGAAATGCAGGGATTTAGTACTAAAAGCAACGATGAGTTCATGCATGCATTTATTCATCAATCAATCATGTATTGAACATCCTACATGTTAAAACATCCAATGTATTATAAACTGCACTGTAGGGTTCACGTGTGGCCACCCAGGTGGGCAAGCTCGCCCTTTCAAAGCCTCTGCTCACCTCTGCCGGGCTCGGCAATCCCCACTGAGAGCCGTTCCGGCGAGCCCTCGGGACGAGGGGGGTCTGCAGGGCGCTCCGTGTGAGCGTCACCTGTTTCGGAGCAGCTTCTGCAGCACCACCTGCGGCAGGCGGTCTGCGAGTCTGCACTGCTGTCACACGATCAGAAGTCCTACGAAGAAGCGTGCCTTCCTGTGGAGATCAAGTGTCGCTCAAGAGAGCCAAGTATCTGGACTGGACTCTGTGTTTTTCTCAATCAACCTGTGTTGCTGGGTCCTCGTTTTGAAGAGACGGTTCCCGCGTTACTCTTCTCCTCTCCTCCTCCTCCCCCTCCTGCCCCTCCTGGCCTCCCTCCTCCTTCTTCCATGCGTTTAACCCACCCAACACAGCGCTTCGTGGCCCCATAGGGAGCTTCACCGAAGCCCCCAGTGGCACCGCCCGCATGCGTCCGCCACCACCCAGCACAGCCCTTGCTCCCTGCGTTTCACCCACCCAGTGCAGCGCTTCGTGGAACCATAGGGAGCTCCATCGAAGCCGCCAGTGGCACCGCCCGCATGCGTCCGCCACTACCCAGCACAGCCCTTCGTCCTTGCGTTTCACCCACCCAGTACAGCGCTGCGTGGCCCCATAAGGGGGCTCCATCGAAGGTCCCAGTGGCATCGCCCGCATGCGCCCGCCACCACCCAGCACAGCCCTTGCTCCCTGCGTTTCACCCACCCACTACAGCGTTTCGTGGCCCCATAAAAGGGAGCTTCACCGATGGTCCCAGTGGCACCGCCCGCATGCGTCCGCCACCACCCAGCACAGCCCTTTGCTCCCTGCGTTTCACCCACCCTGTACAGCGCTTCATGGTCCCATGGGGAGCTCCACGGAAGGTCCCAGTGGTACCGCCCGAATGCGTCCGCCACCAGCCAACACAACCCTTAATCCCTGCGTTTCACCCACCCAATACAGCGTTTCATGGCCCCATATGGAGCTCCACCGAAGCCGCCAGTGGCACAGCCCGCATGCGTCCGCCACTACCCAGCACAGCCCTTCGTCCTTGCGTTTCACCCACCCAGTACAGCGCTGCGTGGCCCCATAAGGGGGCTCCATCGAAGGTCCCAGTGGCATCGCCCGCATGCGCCCGCCACCACCCAGCACAGCCATTGCTTTCTGCGTTTCGCCCACCCACTACAGCGTTTCGTGGCCCCATAGGGGGCTCCACCGAGGGTGCCAGTGGCACCGCCCGCATGCGTTCGCCACCACCCAGCACAGCCGGTGCTCCCTGCGTTTCACCCACCCAGTACAACGCTTCGTGGTCCCATAGGGAGCTCCACGGAAGGTCCCAGTGGCACCGCCCGCATGCGCCCGCCACCACCCAACACGGCCCTTGCTCCTTGCGTTTCACCCACCCAGTACAGCGTCTCGTGGCCCCATAGGGAGCGCCACCGAAGAAGATATTCACAATTGCGGTACTCACAACTGCATCTGGTTGGGTTTTTCGCCAGGCTAATTTTTCTTGGATCTTCTGTTCCTCGTGGAATGTCTGTGCTTCTTGACCTGCGCCACTTTCTAGGAGAACGCCTGGAGCGAAGTTGATCATATCAGCGCCGAGTTGTCGTAACTCTAAGCCAGGGTGGTCTGCGAATCCCACCGACCATCCCAAACACCTGCCCTCCAGGAGCGCCACGCCCCCAGCCCAGCGGCTGCTCTGGCCACTGGCTGTCCGATGCTGCGTACGCGACGCCCGATTTGTGTGAGCGCTCCTGCTTGCCCTCGGGCGTCGCGGGCGGGGCTCTCTCTCTCGGGCAGCACCACGGTTGGTGTCGCTCGGGCGTGGGCTTTTTTCCTCGGCGAGGGCCATCGAGGACTATTTGAGGTCCTCTTGCGAAGCAATGCGCGCGCGAAGCCGAACAAAATACGAAGAATTCAGGAGGGGAACGCACACAGACACAATCAACCGTCGATCCCCAGGAAAAACTTGAAAACAGATGGGCAGTGGGGGGGATGAAGAAAATCCAGAACATATGAGAAAATATAGGAAATCCTGGAGTTTGTGTGTCGATTTGTTCATGTGTCCCAGGCGCGCTTGCCAATGTGCCGCCCACGATCCGATTCGATGCGATTCGATTCCCTGGCTGGGGCCGCAATTCCCATTCGATGCGATCGGGCTCTGTTGCCAGCGTAGGGCCAGGGCCTGCCGGAAGAGGGGCTGGTCGATCCGATACCGATCCGAGATTCGGGACGATTCGCTGGCGGTTCGAGCCGCTCCCGATCCGGTCCGATGTCGCGATCTGATCCAGCGCAGACCTGCCACTTCCTCGAGATAGATGGCGCTTATCCTCAAAGAGGTGGCGACCCCCCCCCCAGTGGCGACCCGCCCCCCCCCAGTGGCGACTCTTAAAGAGGATGCGACCCCCCCCACCCCCACCCCGTGGTGAGACCCGCGGGAAAAGGGCTGGCTCCCCGGAGTGGTTCTCCGGGGCTGGACTTCTGGATCCTCATGATTTTGGGCTTCCGAGGCAAGGGCTGCTTTTCTCCGGGGGAGGCCCCGCCTTCCCGGGGAACCGGCCCTTGTCCCGGAGAACCGTTTCCTCTCGTGGTGAGCCTCCTTGACGGGCGCGGCTATAGGACGAGGATAAATCGGTTCCAGAGCGCTCCGGGACGCGCACAGAGCGTTTCGGAACGCACTGAGACGGCCGCGGCGCCCGAGACATCCTCCAGAGCCGCCGGATTTTGGAGATTCCCGATGCATCCTCACCCGATTTGAATCTCGTCCTGGCGTCGTCTTGCCACAGCAGCTGTTCCCTGAACCACGGCCAGGCCCGCGGCCCGCGAGCCGCAGGCCTCGAGTGGGCTCCCCGCTCGGAGTGCCGCCCCCGCCTCCTGCGCGATCGCAGCCGCCGGTCGGGCGCAGGCACGCAGCTGAGGCGCATCGTCGAGAAGAAGGCCAGCTTGCCAGCATCCCAGCAGGTCATCCTCACCCGATCGTGTCGCATCGTCCTGGCGCCGGCTTACCTCGGCACTGCCGCCCCCTCGCTGCGGCGACCCTCCCCCGCCCGGCTCCCGGGCCCGACCCCCCCCCGCCGAGGACTGCGAGTGGGGCGACTGGGGCGCCTGGGGCGCCTGCAGCGCCACGTGTGGTGGCGGGGCGAAGAGGCGCGCGCGCCGTCGTGGTGGTTGTGGTCGTCTTCGTCGTCGTCGTCGTGATCGTGGTCGTCGTCGTCCTCGTCGTCGTCGTTGTGGTGGTCGTCGCCGTCGTCGTCGTCGTCGTCGTCGTTGTGGTCGTCGTCGTCGTTGTCGTCGTCGTCGTCGTGGTCATCGGCGTCGTGGTCGTCGTCGTTGTCGTTGTCGTCGGCGTGGTCGTCGTCGTCGTCGTCATCATCGTCGTCGTCGTCGTCGTCGTCGTCGTGGTCGTCGTGGTGGTTGCGGTACTTTTTGCTGCTTCACCCAGTTGCGCTACCTATCTATGCCCGCCGCTGCGAATGTGACTGCGCCGCCTCGCGGAAATTCGAGAAGGCCGCCGCGTCGCAGGGGTGCAGCGCTGCCTCAGGGAGGCCGTTTTGTGGCTTGTTGGTGGCATCTCAGATTTTTTCGGAGGGGGGATCGAGATTGCTGATGTCGGATGGGCGTCAACAAAAAGGTGCGGAGGATGAGGAGGAGGGAGGATGGAGGAGGGAGGAGGGAGGAGGGAGGAGTAGAGGGAGGAGGGGGGGCGCTGGTGGTCCAGCGGCCTCTCGAGATCCCCTTGGGGTCCCCCTGCATTTTTCGCGGCACTGTGCTCTGAGGGGGATTCGGCCCGAACCCCCACCATTTAGTACAGTCCCCCTTACCAGCCCTGATACAACCCCCAAACATTTGACCGCTTCGGAGCTCTTTGGAGGCCCCCGCCCAACCCTGCCCCAGGACATGTACGTACTGGATGCCATCCTGTGAAGGAGTGGGACGAGGAGGGGGAGGCGGCAGCGGCGGAGGAGGATGATAGATGAAGAAGTAGAGGGAAGACAGAGGATGGAGACAAGCTAGGTGCGCTCGCGCCTCATCTTACCAGCCTCGCACGTATCCCTATCCTTAAGATTGACACGCCAAAAGGCGATGACCATCTTAGGGATCCACCCTCAAAAAATAAGGGACCCCCTAAGATTGGCATCGTGATGAGGAGGTGTCCAGCATAGGGATAGGGATATGTTCCAAGCTGGTAATCATGTAACATCCTAACCCTCCCTCCCATCCCTTCCCATGGCGCGGTTTTTAGTCAATCCGCGGACGCGTGGCATAGCCGACCTGTGACTCCCACATAAAGACAATTGCGTGGTACGCGCAATCGGAAAAAAGGTTGAAAGCAGAAAGATCGGGAGGAAAAGGAGGACCAGGGGAAGGCGGAGGGAAAATGAGGGGGGCGACAACGAGAACGAACGAGTCGGATTCAGAAACGTGGCCCTCGCTGGGACGAGACGAACAGCAGCAGGAATTGGAGTGGAAGGAGCGGGAGGAGCGAGATGACCAGGGGAAGTGGAGGGGCGAAATGAGGGGGGACCACGATGAAGCAAGACTCGGATCCAGAAGAGTGGCCAGCGCTGGGGCGAGGGCGCCATTCTGAACGATAGCGGCAAAGCGCCAATCCGAAAATGAGGCCCACGCCTGCAGAGGGAACACCAGGTTGAAACTACGAAACACGAAACCAAGAACGTTCGAAGTCCAGCGTGCAAGATAAAAAAAAAAAAAAAGCACGTGGAGAGGGCGGGATGTCTCCGGTCAGCTTCAGGGGGGAGGAGGGACTTGGAGACGGAGGGAGGGGAGGGGTACAGGGAGAGGGAGGAGAGAGAACGCAGATGAGGAGGAGGAGGAGGAGGAGGAGGAGGAGGAGGAGGAGGAGGTGCGAGATGAGCCAGAGGATCCCGCAGATCCTGCTGCCGCTGCTGCTCATCATCTCCCCTCGCTCCGCCCCTCCCCCCCCAACGATCCCCCTCCCCCGCCTCCTCCTCCTCCCCCGCCTCCTTCTCCGACCCTCCCCCTTTTCTTGCCCCTCCCCTCGCGGGCGGGAAAGACATTCATCCTCCCCCCCCTTGGACGGCGATCCCCTGCGGACGGGGCGTGCTCTCGCGGGTGCCCCTCGTGCGGCCGCGCATCCGCAGGCTTGCGCCCCGGAGCCCAGACCGCGAGGGCGTGTCGAGGCTCGTGCAAGGCCGGGTCAGCGTGCACGGAGGCCAGCCAGTCCCCTCTGGCCGACCCGGGTCAGGGAGCCACGGGCCGACCCCCCCCCCCCCTGTCCGCCCTGCGCCGACCCGGGTGGGGGAAGCTACTGAGCGGCCGTCCAGGCTTCGCGATGGGGCCCCAGCCGCCCCGGGGTCTGTGCGCACCCGGGTCATAGTCGAGATCCATTGCAAGAGCGCCGCTGCTGCATCAAGGCTCTCCTTGCATCTCTGCTTCTTCGGCCCATCCGGAGGGTGAAGTGGACGGGGGGCTTCCAGGGGTCCTGCATTCTTGCCTTGCGTGCTGACCATGGATGTAGACTCTGGTGCGTCCACGAGCGTGTTGATCGGCACGCTCACACGCATACGGGGGGCTTCCAGGGGTCTTGCATCCTGACCTTGCGTCCTCATTCTGGATTTGGATTGTTTACCAGCCTGGAACATATCCCTATCCCTATGCTGGGCACCTCCTCATCACGATGCCAATCTTAGGGATTCCCTGATTTTTTGAGGGCGAATCCCATAAGATTGTCATCGCCTTTTGGCGTGTCAATCTTAGGGATAGGGATACGTTCGAGGCTGGTAAATTGTAGTGCGCCCACGAGCGTGTTTATGGATATGGTCGTGGTCCTCCCCCCTCGCCTCCCGCCACCCCCCCCCCCCTTCTTCGACTCGGGCGCTGCGGTCCCGGCCAGGGGCGGTCGCCCGCGAGGCGAGACCGCGTGATCCGGACGCAGCAGAGCGGCAAGGGCGCCGCCTGCAGCGCGAAGGCCCCCGTTGGGCGGCTGCGGCGGCGGCGGCCCGCGGCGGCGACGACGGCGACGACGACGACGACGTCGGCGGCGACGACGACGACGACGTCGACGATGACGCCGACGACGACGGCGACTTGCACCAATCTCGATCCTCGGACCTTTCAAATCAATCCGTTCAGAATCTGTCCCTGGACCCCTCCACGGCCAGAAGCCCCTCCCGGCCAGTTGCTCGAGCCACGTCCAGCCCCGGCAGCGCGAACCCTTCGGCCCGAAGGCCGGCGCCGCCGAACCGGAAGGGAGACGACGACGGCGGCGGCGGCGGTGGCGACGACGCTGACGTGGGCCAGAGGGACGCCTCGTCGGGTCTCTGCGGGAGGCTCTCGGAAGCTCCCCCCCCCCGTTCGCTCTTGCTCCTTTGCGCCCTCTTCCTCCACGCCGCTCTTGAAGGAGGAGGAGGAGGAAAAGGAGGAGGAGGAGGAGGAGGAGGAGGAGGAGAGGAGGAGGGGGGGAGGAGGAGGAGGAGGAGGAGGAGGAGGTGGAGGAGGAGGAGGAGGAGGAGGAGGGGGCCTCTTGGGGTCCCCATTGGGGGGCCTCCCCGCGGGCCGGCAGGTGCCCCCCGCGGAGAGCTTCCATGCCCCCCGGGGGCCCAGTGGGCCCCCTGGAGGAGCTGGGACACCTCGGGAAGCGAAACGGGCGACGGCAGGAGAGGGGGGGAGGATCGGCAGGAGGGGGAGGAGGAGGTGGAGGAGGAGGGGGAGGAGGAGGAGGGGGAGGAGGAGGGGGAGGAGGAGGAGGAGGAGGAGGAGGAGGAGGAGGAGGAGGATATGTCCACAGATTTGTTTGTTTTCGCGGCACGCCTCGGCGGTGCCTGCCCTGTGCGCGCTCGTCGCTTCCGCACGGGCTCCGCGCACACAAGCAAATCTTGTGGTATGAGCAGCGTGGCGGGCGTGCTCTGGCCATGCCGCTTGTTGAGGACGTACCGGTCGCACGAGCGCCTCCGAGGGGGTCGCGCAGCAGTGGTACGGCTTTCCCCAGACATCCGACGTTGCGTTTTTCTGTTTTGTTCACAACGTGGCTCCCCAGAGTTCCGGACCCATCTCCGGGGACCGGCTTGCCATCCTGAGAAGTTGTTTGATCGTCCTGGGGCCCAGCATGGACCCCCAGAGACATAAATTTGCGATTCGCCATCCGTCGTGTTTTTTTTGGTTCACGACGCGAGGATGCCAGAGTCTGCGCTCCAATTTACCCCAGTTATGCTGTAGCCGTTTCGCCGCGCAGGTAAAGTCGGAGGTTGCGCCCTGCAGCACGCGGCCGTGCGAGGACCGCCGCTGTCTTGTTTGTGGCCGCCCGCACGGGAGAGGGTGGAGGAAGCCATGGGGGCCCGCGAGACCAGCCAGGCTGCCCAGCTTTCGCCCCCGAAGATGAAGGGAAGGAGGAGGGAGGAGGGTGGGGGTAACGAGGGAGGAGGAGGAGGAGGAGGAGGAGGAGGAGGAGGAGGAATAATAATATAAATAATAACAAGAACATGAAGAAGACGAATAATAATAATAATAATAATACTAATACTAATAATAATAATAATCTTAATAATAATAATACGAAGAAGAATAATAAGTATATGAAGAAGAAGAAGCAGAACACGAAGAGGAATAATAATAATAAGAAGAAGAATAAGGAGAATACTAAGAATAATAAGAATAATGATAATAATACGAATAAGAAGAAGAATAATAATAAGAATAAGAATAATAATACGAAGAAGAAGAAGAGGAGGAGGAGGAGGAGGGAGGAGGAGGGTGGAGGAGGAGGAGGAGGAGGAGGAGAAGGAGGAGGAGGAGGAGGAGGAGGAGGAGGAGGAGGAGCAGGAGAGAGGCGGGATACGGGAGTAGGGAGGGAGGGAGGCGGTAGGGGGGAGAATGGAGGGAGGGCAAGGGGGAGGGGAGGGGCAGCGGGATTGCACCGTGGATTGCGCTGGGTACACGGCCCACCCACGTGGAGGGGCGGGGTCCCCGGTTGGGTGGGGAAGGGGGGCAGAGGCGGGCTAGTTTCGGGGTCTGGGCTCTTCAACAAATTCACCGGTACGACATGCTCCGGGTTGCATTTTTGGTGTTGTTTGGCCGAAGTCGTTTGACGCTGTCCCGTAGATCAAAACTACGGGACAATTTTTGAGCATCGCATGACCCCAGCGCTTGAGTGCGCTCGAAGAACCTTTTGGCGCTGATGTAGAGGTTGAAGAATCTATTGGTTATTGAAGGCGTATTCGAGAAACCAGTTGGTAGTTTTTTTATGCGTTGACGAAACATTATGGTTGCTCACCGTCCCTCTCCTCTGGGCTGCCTCTGGCCCCTCGTCTGAGCGCCCAGCTTGAAGGTTTTTTTTCTGGACGGCGTTATGGGATGGCGGGGTGTGTTGGTGTTCGGCGGGCGCGGGTTCGTGAGGAAGCGGCCGGCCTCTGGCCCCCTGAGGGGGGGGCTCCCGCCACGGCATGCGGGGTAGCCGCCCCTGTCTGGGGAGTGGTCTGTTGCCACCTAGTGGCCCCGAGTGCGCCAGGGCGCTGAGCCGCCAATTGCAGCCATCGTTTTGCTGGAGCTCGCTGTCTTGTTTGAGGGGTGGGAGGGAAGGAGGGGAAGGAGCAGGAGGAGGAGGAGGAGGAGGAGGAGGAGGAGGAGGAGCAGGAGGAGGAGGAGGAGGAGGAGGAGGAGGAGGAGGGAGGAGGAGAAGGAGGAGGAGGAGGAGGAGGAAGAGAAGTTTCCTCCTTCTGCTCGTCCTCGTGAATATTATTATTATTATTATTATTATTATTATTATTATTCTTCTTCTTCTTCCTCCTACCCCTCGTGATCCCTATCCCTCCCTCCCTCGCGATGGACCATGGAACCTCCCCAGGGCCTTCGGGGACTTCCGGGTGCCAGCTGGGACCTCCTGGAGGCCTCCTGGAGCCTTCTGGGGCCTCCTGGGGCCTCCTGGTGCATCCTGCGGTCTTCTGGGACTTCCTGGGTCTTCCCTGCACGAACCTCTCGCGGCGCTTCGAATCGTCCCTGGGCCTCCTGGGATCTGCCAGTAGCGCTTCCTGCAATCTCGCGGGGGCCTGCTGGCCCCTCCTGGGCCCTCCGGGGGCCTCCGATAGGCCTGCTATAGGGCCTCCTGCGACCTCCTGGGCCTGCCGAGGCTTCCCGGGGCCTCCCGGGGCCCGCCTGGGCGGTCGAGGGGCCCCTCGAGAGAGAGTCCGCTCCAGGGAAGCGGCCCCTCCCCCGGCGGGCCCTCTATCGCAGGCCTGCCTGGGGCCTCCACAGTGACGGACCGTCTCGAGCATGGGAGCCCTTCCGTGGAAAGAGGGGGCCCAAGTGAAAGTTCCAGAAGTAACGGCAACGTCGCACGTGAGGCCCCAGACCGTCTCGGGCGCCCCGCGGCGCAAAGCTCTATCCCCCACGGCACGGTCTGATCAGCCCTCCCCCTGGGATGGTGTTTTTTTTCCGTTTCCGCTGATGGGAAAGACGTCTCCTCCTTCTCGGCGGTAACGGAGGGCATGCCGGGGGGGTGGGCGGGTGGGCGGGTGGGCGGGTGCGCGGGGTGGCTGGTTGGGACGGTTGGCTGGTTGGGTTGCTTGGGCTGGCAGGTTGAGCTGGCCAGGGCGACCCCAGTCCGATCCCGGATCTTGGATCCCTCCATCCTCCGTCTGTTTTCTTCGCCGCAGCACTTCTTGGAGCTCAGGGCCAGGCCAGCCAGGCCAGGCAGGAGTCAGGGGACACGCCCGACTCGTTCTTGGATTGTCGATTCATTCTCGATTTGTGGTTGACCATTCTCGTCGGTCGGTTCATGTGGGACCCATTCCGGCAGAATGTGCGTTTATTTGTCCAGCCATTTCGAGTTAGTTCGATTATTTTGGGTTGCTGGATTGTTTGTTCAGCGGCTTGACTTTTGTCCTGGGTGTTCCGACAACTCGCTTGACTGTTACCCGGAGTGTTCTGGCAAAACATGTCGGACGAGTGTGACTCTCCGTGTGGGGGTTGACTCTTCACTCGGGTGTTCCGGCAAACCAGCGGGCCATGCTGTAGAGCGGGGCGGTCGGTTAAGTCAAAGCCAAGTACCCTAGCCAGCTCCACTTGTCAACCCAATCAACCCATACAGCCCCACCAGCCACCCAGCCATCTCGTCAGCATACAGTCGGGGTCCTGAAGAAGGAACCCTTTTTGTTGGGTAGGGGCTCCGCGTTCCTTAAGTGTTTCGCAGCTTGCCTCAGGTGTTCCTTATGGTTTCGATCGGAAATCGAAGTTTAACTCATGTAAAAAAGGGGCCTCGTTCCTTGTTTAGGGTTCCTTAGGTCAAGCCCCCGACTGTATCAGCCCAACCAGCTCTACGCCACCCAGCCAGCCCGATCACCCGCCCGCCCCCGCCGCCTGCCCTTCGGGCAATGTCCTCACTGGCGAGAACGGGAAAACCCACCGTAGCATAAGGGGATCGGGCTTTGCGCCACGGGTGCCCGAGACGGTTTGGGGCCTCAAGTGCGACGTTGCCGTCACCTTTTGAGTTTTCACCGGGCCCCCCTTTTCAAGTACACCTTCGCAGAAGAAACACAGCGTGATGACGAAGCAGGTGGGAAACGAGCAGAGAGGATAGCAACGAAGAAGCATCACGACGCCATCCCTAGTACCTTTGATCGCACGACGGGCTGGAGCATCGAAACTCACGAGTTTAGGTCCTCAGATATTCCTGGCAACTCTTCGGCCTTCCGAGAGCCTTCTGGGAACTTCCTGGAGCCTCGGGGCTGAACCTCCGGCGCGGGGACGTGAGAGGAGGATGAGGGGACAGGGGCGTCACAGGGTACTGCGCGGGCATTGCAGGTTGTTGCGCGGGGTATTACAGGGTTTTGCCTTCCGCCCCATATTATTACAAGTCTTCACGCTTCGCGTATCCCCACCAGCCCCTCCCCCTGGTGCGCAATTCGCTCGTAGCCCGTTGCTGCGACCTTTGACGGCGTTCGGCTATCCCAGCGCGCTCGCGATCAAGTATTCCCACCAGCCCATTCAGAAACACTGCCCATGAGAGCTGTCGGGAAAAGGTACGAAGAGACACGTATAGTGAAGCAAAGCGGGCAACCAGGGTGAACAGAGGAATCTTTGGGGACAAGGGGGTGGCCTTGGAGGGCCTCTTCGGGCATGCCTTGGGCCCGCGTGGGGGCGAGGGAAGGATGAGTAGGAGGAGGGGGAGGTATAGGAGGCTTTGGAGGAGGAGGAGGGGGAGAAGGAGGAGGAGGAGGAGGAGGAGCAGGATGAGGATGACGACAACGACGACGACGACGATGAAGAGGAGGAACAGGAAACGGAAGACGATGAGGGGAAGGACAAGGACGAGGAGGAGGAGGACAACGAGGACAACGAAGAAAGGACGAGGAGGAGGACAACGAGGAGGATGAGGAGGAGGAGGAGGAGGAAGACAACGAGAGCCTGCACGAGTCGTCGATATCTCTCTTTGTGTGTTCGAAGGACTTGGGCCTCTTCGGGGGGGGGGTCCTGTGGGGGCTCCGAGGGCACTCGGAGCCGTCCTGCTGCCCCACGTCGGGCCTCTTGGAGGCGTGGCGGAAGTCATCGTGGGCCAGCGTCGGTCCAGCTGGAGCCGCTTCGGGGGCTGCCTTGGAGCGTCGGAGGCCCTCTTGTGCGGGACGGGAACATGACCACAGCCACTGCTTCTTGTTTGCGCCGTCTTCCAGCCGGCCCAAAAAGAAGCAGTGGTTGTGGTCATTTCCCTGGTGCCAAGCTCAACGAAAATGACCACAACCACTGCGTTGCTTCTGCGGGCTGGAAGGCGGCAACAAAAGAAAAGCAGTGGTTGTGGTCGTTTTTTTCGCCCCGCATCTTGGAGCCATCCTGGACCGCCTTGGACACTCGAACCCCTCGCGGCCCCGCGAGCCCCCCCAACAACAAGCCTCGGGGAGGGGAGGGGGAGGGTGCCCCTCCCCGAAGGATTGTGACTGCCCAAGGTGCCCCCCAAAAAACCTCGCCGATTGCTCCCAGGGACCCCCCCTGGCCCCCTGCCGCATGCCCTGAGCACCCCCCCTATCACCCCGATGATGTTGTACTCAAGCAGCCCCACACCCCTCGTGTGGATGCCAGACGGGCCCTTGCCACCTCCCATCCATGTGCTCCCAAACAAAAAAAGCGATGGGACGAGGATGGCGGAAGAGGGGAGGGAGGAAGGGGAGGGCGGGAGCAGGGCTTGGGGAGGGCCATCTGGGGCCGAGGCCTGGGGGGGAGGAGGGAAACGGATGACGAGGAGAATGACATGCGGAATGAAAGTCGAGGGGGGTGACGATGAAGCAGTTTGGGGGGGGCTCAGATCCATGAACCATGAGAGCGGAGATGAGGAGTAGGCGGAGGAGGACAAATGTCAGAGTCGGTGGAGGGTGATGGGTGAGGATGGGGAGGCAGGGGGAGGAGGAGGAGGACGGGCCTGACGCTATGATCACATGGCAAGAGTCTGACAGGCGAAGTGGTCGTGCGCCTGTGTGTTGTCCTTGGCCCTCGTCCCCTCCAGCCTTTACAGTCGGGGCCCTGAAGAAGGAACCCTTTTCGTTGGGGAGGGGCTCCGCGTTCCTTAAGGGTTTCGCAGCTTGCCTCAGGTTTTCCTTATGTTTTCGATCGGAAATCGAAGTTTAACTTATGGAAAAAAGGGGCCTCGTTCCTTATCTTGGGTTGCTTAGGTCAAGGCCCCGACTGTAGTGCGTAGTGTGCCTGCTGGGCTCCTGGTCCGGCCACCGTTCTCCGCCTGAATGTTGATCGCTTGCCGCAGCTGCCCATGTGGCTGCCGTCCCTCGCTCGGCATGCCTACCTGTAGACCTGATCGCATAGTTCGGGCCCCTCTAACTTTTCCCAGCGAGGCCAGCGGCATTTCGGTACAGTATATGACTGCTGCGTTGAGGTGGCGGTGGTTGTTGGGGGTGGTGGCCAATCCACGGCAACCTTTCAGTAGTCGTGACGTCAGCGAGTCGGGTTTGCCTAGGGCCTCGGACAACGCTGATCAACGTGTAATCGGAGCGGGCGGGTGGGGGGGGGGCATCGCGGCGGGCGCGGTAAGGGGACGCGTTAGAACTATTGAAATCCCAATTTCTTAGCTTATGCAGGCTTCGGCGGCAACGATGGGCATCTGAAGTCACGACATTGCGCTGGCAACGTTCAAGTCTACGATCATTTTGCTTGATGGCTGTCTCATGTCAGTCAATTATGTTTGCGCCTCTGGTTCCTTCTAACGACTGCATATTGCGGGCCTACTCTTGTTGCGAATGCTGTTGGTCGACCCGTTTGTTTGAGCGATAATTTTAGGCGGGTGATTTGTCGGTTGGACATTGCCGTTGAATGTGCAAGCTCGAGTCGTTGTTGTCGAGTATGTTGGTTTGATGGTTCTTTGGTTGACGATTGTCTTTGTCACGGCCGATTCGTTTGGCTGATCAGATCTGGTGACTTGCTCCAGCTCGGCAACAAACGAACAACGCTCCACGTGTGCAACTCAGGACAAGCCGTCCCCTGAGACGGGGCCGAGAGCTCCGTGGACCCTTCTATCGTCCCTACCTCCCATCTTCCTCCGCCACTCACTCGACCACCCTCTTCCCCTCCCGTTCCTCCTACCTCCCTCTTACTCCTCCTTCCCTCCGTCCTCCCTCCCTCCTGCTTCTCCTCCTCGTCCTCCTCCTCCTCCCTCCTCCTCCTTCCTCCTCCTTCCTCCTAACTCCCTCTTCCCCTTCCCTTCCGCCCCCCCTGGGCTCTGTCCTCCCCTCGCCTTCCCTCCTCCCCCGTCTCTCCTCCTCCCCGCCCCTCGCCGCTCCCTTCCCCCTCCCCCGTGGCGTTGCAGCGTCGGGCGTGTAGCTGCGCACGCTCTGGTCCTCTCCCCCCCCCATTTCCCCCCCTCCTGGTCCTGCTCCCCCCCCCCCGCTCTTCCGCCCCTTGCCGCGCCCTTCCTGCCCTTCCCTCCCCCACCTCCTCCCCATCCATCCATCCACCCCCCCTCCTCTCCTTCCCTCGGCCGGTTCGCCATTGATGCAAGTCAGGCCCGAGGGGTAACTTGTTTGGTTGGCTCCCTGCTCCATCCTTTCTTCTCCTCCCCTCTCCCTTCCCCCTCCTTCGTCGCCGCCGCTGCCGCGGCCGCCGCCGCTGCCGCCGCCACCGCCTCCCCTCTCCCTTCCACCTCATTCGTCGCCGCCGCTGCAGCTACCGCCGCTGCTGCCGCCGCCGCCGCCGCCGCCGCCGTCGTCGTCGTCGTCGTCGTCGTCGTCGTCGTCGTCGTCGTCGTCGTCGTCGTCGTCGTCCTCGTCGTCGTCCTCGTCGTCCTCGTCGTCTTCCTCCTCCTCGTCGTCCTGGTCCTCGTCCTGGTCCTCGTCGTCCTCGTCGTCCTCGTCGTCCTCGTCGTCCTCGTCCTGGTCCCCGCCGTCGGCTTCCGAACGACCCGTGCCGCGCCAGGACTGCGTGGACGGGGACTGGGGAGGCTGGGACGAGTGGTCACCGTGCACAGGAACCCGTCTTCCTTTGGCGCCTCTCGCTCTCTGCCTCGGCCGCGGGGTGTGATGGGCCGATCTCCCACCACCACTGCCTCGGCCGTGGGGTGTGATAGGTAGGAGGAAGGCGGAGGAGGAGGAGGAGGAGGAGGAGGAGGAGGAGGAGGAGGAGGAGGAGGAGGAGGAAGAGGAGGAGGAGGAGGAGGAGGAGGAGAGGAGGAGGAGGCTGGGCTCGCAGCGTGCACCGCACAGGCCCCCCGCACGCCGCGAGGAGGGCACGGCAAACGGCTTTCGTGCACGCTCGGCCTCCCCCAGAGGAGGAGGAGGAGGAGGAGGAGGGGAGGAGGAGGAGGATGGAGGAGGAGGAGGGGAGGAGGAGGAGGAGGAGGAGGAGGGAGGCGAGAGGAGGAGGAGGAGGAGGAGGAGGAGGAGGAGGGAGGAGGGAGGAGGGAGGAGAAGGAGGGAGGAGGGAGGAGGAAGGAGAAAGGAGGACGGAGGAAGGAGGAAGGAAAAAGGAGGAAGGAGGACGGATGGGGAGAAAGAGACCTGGGCCTGGGCAGGTCCCGCCAGACTGCCCTCTCCTGGCCTTCGCTTCCCAGGGGAGCCCCATGGGGACAAGGCAGGGTGCAAACAGGGGTCCCCAGACAGGGCCCGCCTGAGTGCGAGCGCTGGATGGGAAGTGGGGAGGGTCGAAGAAGGAACAACCACATCAGCAGAAACTTTGGGCGCTCCGCGCGGTTTCTCGGATCCGCGCCTGTGCCCCCCGGCGGCGCCTCCGGCGCCGCCACCGGCGCGCTCCGCGTGCCAGGGAGGGGGGTCCAGCGCGAATCCAAGAAATCCGCGCGGAGCGCCAAATATTTATGTTTATGAGTTTTCGTTCTTCTTCTAGAGGGGCGTCGTCGTCTTCGTCATTCCTACCTCCTTTCCTCCCTCCTCCCCTTCAGGGTAGCAGCAGGAGGGAGGGACCAGGTGCCGCAGGGCGCGCAGAGAGTACGGACGATGCGAGAGATCTACCGCATACCGCTGCCCTTCTCCCTCGTCGCCAGGGCTGAATTCGCTTCGGAAGTATTACTAATGGTCAGATCGCACACCAAGAGAGGTCCATGGAGCAGCGGTATGGGTATCGTCTTGTTTCTCGCCACTTACGGGGCCCTGGGGCCATCAAAAGACGGCTCGGAACGAGAAGCTGGCCCCGGGGCCGGGGCCCCACCTCCGGGGGTCCACGCTGTGAGAAAGATCACGGCGTCGCCAGGCCCTGGGCTTTCAAAGACTGCGACCTCCCAGCCCGAGGGACAGGGCGATGGCCCGACAGATGCCAAGAGCAAGCTTCAGCGGAGGCAGGATTGGAGGAGGTGGGGCGACAGGGTGGGATGAGATGAGGAAGGGGAGGGGAGGGGGCAGTGGAGAGGGGGGAGGGGATGGGAGGGGGTGACCGGACAGAACCCAGGCGGTCCAGGAGGGAAGTTACTACGCACGGGGTCGCCGACCAGCCAGGCGGCAGCAGGTATTGGCGCCACCACGTATCTCCCTTCGCCCCTCTCAGCCTTTGCACTCCCGCCTAATCTTGTGGATTTCCCTCGTCGGGTGCGTGCCAGTCGTGGCCAGCGGGGCATAGAGTCCCCCCACGATGGGGCGCGGCGCACCTCTTTCTTAGCCCCCTCTGCTCCCTGGAGATGTGAGGACTGCCGCAATAGTGTGCATCAGACGGTCCGCGGCTGTCTCCGAGGGCCAGGGGACTTCTACCACCGTGGGGCGCGCTCGAAGGGGTCCCCTGCTGCTGTGCCTCTCATCGCTGATGGATCTGGAAGCAGGAGCTGGCATGTGCGGCCCTGTCACTTCAATGATTAAGTCAGGAAGCCAATTTTCGGGTCGGGAGGATGGGGTTGGGAGACGTGAGGAGACCCTTGCCCGCAGGCGGCCGGATGTATCGTTCCTTGCACCTGGATGCTGTTGCTCGTGCCCTTCCTCCTCCCAACACGGCAGTTGCCCTCCTTCTCGTGCCACCTCGACAAGACGCCTCCCGGCCCACGCTGCCCCCTCCCCCAGCTCCTCGGCCCCCCCCCGCTCTCCGTGGCCCTCGCCCTCCACCCCACCTCCTCGGGCTGCGCGCCTCCCCGGCCGCGCGCTGCAGGTGGACGAGCTCTCGGGCGCTCCATGGCCTGCCTCCCATCGGCCTGCGCTCGCAGCCAAAGACGCTCCGCTCCCAGCCACCTGCGGCCCGGCCTTCCGCGTGCGGCACCGGGAGGTGGCCAAGTACGCGAACGCGTGCGGCGACCCGCCCGCCCGAAGCACCGCGCGCGCCCTCGCGCCCTCGCGCCCTCGCCCGGGCCGAGAGGGGGGTGCCGCGGCTGCGGGCCCGCCGTGCTCTGGGCGATTTTCAGGAGGGGAAAAAACTCACAGACACAATGAATCGACGATCCCCAGGAAAACATGGGAAAATATAGGAAATGGGCGGGAAGACAAAAACCCAGAAAATATGGGAAAACATGGGGAATCCTTCTATTTGTGTGTATTTATTCGTGTGTCCTGGGGCCCCTTTAGATTTCGGGAGCAGGGCGGAGAGTTCCGCCCTGCTGTCGAGCTCCTTCGATTCCGGCGTCCGCCCTACTTTCCCGTCGCCGTCGCTCTGCTCCCGCCGCACCTGCGCGGACGTGTCTGCCCTCCTTCTCCTGAGGCGGACTTCTCCACCCCAACGTTCGTGTGCCTCGTTTGTTTGCGGCGCATGTCCGATGCAGGTGTAAGCCGGAAGATGCGATGTCTGTTCGTGGGAGCCTCGGGCGGCGACATTGACAGCAGTGTTGGCCACATGTGGGCCGCATCTGGGCCGCACGTGGCCCTTCCCCCTGCTCCGCCTCGCCCTCCCTGTTCTCCCCCGCCTCGTTCGTCTCGTCTCCCTTTGTGAAGGGAGCGCCTCCGGTCCAAGTCGGGTCCCAATCCAGTCCCAGATGTGCACATGTGTTCCAATTCGGGTCCAAATCAGGCCCAATTCGGACAGCGCTGGCTGGGGCCAGGTATGCTCCCATGAACGGGAACACCAAGCTGTTGTCGCATGTGTATAGGTCTGTTTCCTCTGAGGGAATCTGCACTGACTAAGTAAGTCTGCACTGACTCACTCGACATTGGCGTACGAGTGTGCTGGTGCAGTCCCTGGTCGGTTTCGCTAATCGACGTGCGCTTCCCTGGAGACATTAGGTTGTTTGGGGATGTTAGCTACCCCGCTGGGGTCCACTCGGAATGCGGTGCCGGGCGAACTTGTAGTTTACGGGGCCCTGGAAAAGACAGGGCCGTTTTCCATCTGGCCATTTTGTTACTGGTTCCGGCACGGTTTGTTTTTCCAGTTCCGTCGCGGTTTTTCGATTCCGGCTCGGGTTCCAATTCCCGTGTCCGTTGTAACCTTTTCCATCTTCACCAGCCATTTTTCGGAAACGGTACACAAACGGCCCTGCCGTTTCTGGCGCCCTTTGAAGACGTGGAGTGTACCCTGGCAATTTTCATTACAGGCTATTCTGCTAAAGGGGATTCTGTCCACCCCCGAAAGAGTAGCGGGGGGAACGGGGATGAGAGAACGGAGGGGGAGGGAGGGGAGCGAAACAAGATCGCCATGGATGCAAGGAATACTCATGAAGAGCCCATTTTCGCTCTTTCGGGGCCTGGGGCCTCAAGGGGGCCTCGTGGGCTCTCTTGGTGGCCTCTTGGGCCTCCTGGGGACCTCTTGGGGCGGAAGGCTCGACTTGGAGGTTCGTGTTCCCCCTCTACGGCCCTGGGGCCGTTTTGGGACTCTCTTGGGCGATCTTGGGCGCCTGTTGGGCCGTTTTGGGACCCTCTTTGACCGTCTTTGTGCCTTCTTGGGGGCCTCTTGGGCCGTCTTGGGGCGGTCTTGGGGGCCCCTGGGGTCATCTTGGAGCGTCGGAAGCCCGAAAACGCGAGAACGCGGAACAGATCGAAAAACATTCTGAACATCAGCGATGTTTGCTTCTTTGGGCCCTCTTGGGGATCCTTTTGGAGCGCTCTTGGGGCTTCTTGGGGCCTCTTGCGCCGTCTTAGGGCCATATTGGATGCTTGGAGCGCTCTTGGGCTGTCTTGGAGGCCTCTTGGACCCTCTTGGGCGCTTCCTGGGGCCCTCCTGGCACGTCTTGGGGCCCTCTGGCTGCGGGAAAAATCACGTGGGGATGCCCGAGAGCGCGCGGGAACGGCCAGACCGTTTGAGATTCTTGAGGCCCCAGCCCCTAGAATACCGGAGTCCCGGAGTCCGGAGCACGGAGCACAGGGAACCCTCACGAACCCGAGGACGCTCCGCTTCGTGCCTCGAGGCACGGCGGCGGATATAGGCCACGGCCTAGACTCGGCGGCGAGCGAGGGGGGGAATTGAGAAGGAGAGGGCCTTCTCAGAAGGCGGCTGGACTTCTCAGAAGCCCTCGCGCCTTCTGAGAAGCTTTTTCTGTCTTCGGGGAAGGCTCAGAAAACTTCTCAGAAGTCCGGGGGACTTCCGAGCCTTCTGAGAGGGCACGCCCCTTCTCACTTCCCCCCGTGGCTCGCCGCCTATAGACGTCTCAGATGCTCACGAAGGGGGGGCTGCGCTCCCTTGCAGCCACAGGGCGGCGAGGCTCCCCGAGGGGCCGAGGGAGCTCCTCTCGGCTGGGCCGGGGGGGCGGACGCCGGAGGGCGGTCGGAGGAAGGAGAGGCGACACCACCACCACCACCAGGGGGACCACCTCTCGGGCCGAGGCACGAGACGCATCAGATCGGGGTCGTCTCGGGAAGGGTACCCTGAGATTTGTCGTGCTCGCTGGATGTTCTTGTGACTGGTGCATCCCTGGGGAGGGTACCCATGGATGTGTCGCGTGCTTTTGCCGGCGGAGGGTCTCGTGTTCCTTGGAGGATGCCTCTCTGCCTCAGGCCCGACCGCCAGTGGCGCGATCGTGCTTAGGCTTGGAGGCCTGCAGCTGCCCCCCCCATCCCACCCACGTGCTGGTGCTCGCGCGCACCCCGTCGCGATCGCCGCGCACCCCGCCCCGACGCTTCACCTCGGGCCCCAGCCCCTCTCCCTCCCGGCCCGGGCACGAAGCACCAAGCACGCCCGCAAATACGGGCACCGTCTGCTGGCCACGCGCAGAAGGGGGTAGGGGGAGGGGGGAAGGCTTCTTAGAAGCACCCCTGCTTCTTAGAAGGCGCGGGCCTTCTGTGTAGATGTAAGGCCGGCGCCTTCTAAGAAGCAGCCTCCTTCTAAGAAGCCTTCCCCCCTCCCCCTACCACCTTCTGCGCGTGGCCAAGTCTGGGGTGCTGCGGGTGCGGCGCTCGGGCGCCGGTGCACGAGGAGGGAAGGGGGCCCGATCGGACATCCTGCTCGATCTCGTTCTAAAGCTCCGTTGCCGTAAGCGACGGCTCCTGGAAACAAGTGGCACGCATGCTTCGGCCCTTGCACGAGGGGAGGTGTCCTCTGGGCGCCATCATGCGCAATCAGGGGTAATTAGGAGGGCCCGTGGGCCGAGGGCGACGAGCGAGCGCACGAACGAACGACGAGAATAACAAGGGCTCCGAGCTCGAGCACACGGCGGTGCAAGATACAGTGGATGCCCATGCCAAAAAAAAACACCCTGCTTGCCTCCAGGGTGCCCTGGGCTCAATTATTGGGCTTCGATGGATCTGCGGTGGAGAGCGCGACGTCCCCACACCAGCAATCCATGGACGCCCTGGTGCCTCAGGGTTGGGTTTCTTCTGGAAGGTTTCTTGTGGGCTGGCCTCCACTGTAATCAGAAGCGGTATCTGTATATGTGGCCATGGTGCGCGGTGCCGCCCCATCCCTGCTCCCGGGCGGCGGCCAAGGGCTCCCGTGGCCCCGCCGCGCTCTCGCCAGCCCGCGGCCCCCCTCCTCCTCCCCCTCCCCCTCCCCCTCCCCCTCCTCCTCTTCCTCCTCCTCCTCCTCCTCCTCCTCCTCCTCCCCCTCCTCCTCCTCCTCCTCCTCCTCCTCCTCCTCCTTCTTCTCCTCCTCCGCGCAGCCCGCGCGCGCCCGCCCGCCCGCGGCGGAGGCAAGCCCGCCAGCGGGGTGATGGACCAGCCCTGGGCCCAGCGCCGCTGATCTGCACGAGCGAGATGGGCACGGAAAGAATGGGTACAATGCCCAGCAGCAGTTCCTGTTCATTTTGAACAGGACTCGCTGTCCGCGCCGCCGCGGCCTGTGTTCATTCGAGACAGAGGGCCGCCTGCCCAACAGCGGCCGCTGTTGGTTTGCGACAACATTTGCTGTTGGGCATTGTGCCCATTCTTGCCGTGCCCATTTCGGGCGTCCAAAGCTGAGGGCCTCGGACCGGCAAGATCGACATGGGCACGGAAGGACGGCCTCGGCTGGCCCTGGGGCCGGCCAAGACCAGATCCGAGGTGAAAAGAAAACTGCATCAGCATCGGGAGAAGAGAAGACCACACGGACATAAGCTTCTGGCGCTCTGCGCGGATTTCTTGGATCCGCGCTGGTCCCCCCTGGAGGCGCCTCCGGCGCCGCCCCTGGCGCGCTCCGCGCGCCAGGGAGGGGGGCCCAGCGCAGATCCAAGAAATGCGCGCTCAGCGCCACAAGCTTATGTCGGTGTGGTTTGTTCCTTCTTCTATTCATGTGGCCCCCGGGCCACAGGCTGAAGTCGGGCGTGTCCCTCTACAGGAGGAACGTTGAAGCACTGTTTTAAACAACAAATAATGTCAAAACAATCTTGCAACCATTTTTACATATATGTGTGGTGCGTTTTTTGGGGGTATGTTTGAAACATGTTCCGCCCAACATCCCCCTGGATAGGAGGACATGCCCGACCCGACCCCAGCGCGGCCGCGCGCGGAGGGGGGCGCCACTGGAGGGAGGGGCGGCCCCTGCCCGGCCGGCCGGCGGCCCGGCCGCTCGAGCCGGGCGGTGCCCCCCCCCCCTCCCCCTCGGGGCGGGGGGGAGGCACGCCGCGCCGCGTGCGGCTGCGCGCAGGCGTCGGGGGCCTGCCAACCTCGGGCGCCCCGTGGGATCAGAGCGTGGATTGCCTGCCCCGCTTTCGCCTCCGGGCAAGACCGAGTCACACCGCGCGCCTCCTCGTCAAGCGGCCCGGCCAGTACAGGCCGCAGTTTGGCATCGCTCGGTATCTCTTGGAAGCGAGGGTGGTCAAAAGCGAAGCGTAGGCTTGTTCTCCCCCCAGTATAGCCTCGTGATGTGCATCTTTCGGGTCGAGGAGCGTCGATTCGCGGCTGGAGTCGATGAGACAGCGCCGATCTAGCGCCTGTCTTCCACCACCACCACCACCACCACCATAAGTTGAAGGGGGGGAGGGGGCGGAGGAGGAGGAGGAGGAGGAGGAGGAGAAGGAGGAGGAGGAGGAGAAGGGGAAGGACGAGGCGGAGGAGGAGGAGGAGGAGGAGGAGGAGGACCCCCTCCCCCTCCAACTTATGGGGGTGGTGGTGGTGGAAGCAGGCCCCTCAGGGGTGCTCCGCGAGCGCCGCCGTCCCTGAAGCGCCTGCGGTGCCTCTCCGCTCGGCCGCCTCCGCCGGCGGCGAGCAGCGCGCGCGGCCGCGGCGCGGGGAGGGGGCCGCGGCCGGAGCGGCCGCCGAGGTTCGCGCTGTGCGTGGACCTGGGCCCGTGCTCCCCGCCGCAGGACTGCGAGGCCGGCTGCCCATGTCGGGAGACACAGAGGGGCTTGATCGATGGGACTTTCAAAAACCGTTGTGGTTGGAGGAGGAGGAGGAGGAGGAGGAGGAGGAGGAGGAGGAGGGACCCCTCCATCTTCCAGGACGAGGAGGAGGAGGAGGAGGAGGAGGAGGAGGAGGAGGAGGAGGAGGAGAGTCGCCACAAACGTGCACGAATCATGGACGTTGGATGTCTCAGACACACATATATATATATATACATATACATACATACATCTGTACGTGTGTTGTGTATGTCTGTGGGGCAGCGATCGTGCATCGCTAGCTAGCAGCCACTTCGGGGCGCACGGCCGCCCCTCACTCTCGGCGCCCAGACTCGCACTGCATGCTCGCACTTCGCACTCGCACCCCGCACTCGCGCCCGCAAATCGCCCCCCGCACTGTGCGCCCACACTCGCACTTCATACTCGCACCCCGCACTCGCGCCCACACTCACCACGCTTTGCGCCCACACGACACGAGCGCGAGACGCGGGTCAACTCGGCGCACTAAGTCGGGGACGCCCACCCCACGGTCAATTCGCGTTTCGCACTCGAGGAATCAGCTCGGACGACCAACTCACGAAATCCTTTCGGCACCTCCAATCGCGAAACCAAGGCGGCAACTCAACCTCGCACATCAACTCGCGAACTCAACTCGGCAGGCCGCCCCGCGAAATCAACTCTAAACCAATCCTCTAAATCAACTCTAATAAATCAACTCGGCAAATCAACTCGGGAAATCAACTCGGCAATCCCAGTCGGGAAATCAACCTGGGAAATCAACTCGGGAAATCGACTCGTGGAACCAGTGTGGGGTGCGAGAGTGAGCGTAGACTGTGGGCGTAGAGTGTGGGCGCGAGTGTGAGAGGCGAGTGTGGAATGCGAGTGTCGGCATGGAGTGTGGGCGCGAGTGTGTTCGGCGAGTGTGGGCGTCGAGTGTGGTACGTTTCTGGCCTCGAGCTCGTGCTGGCCCCTCAGACACACACAATACGTGTGTACATCTATATGTATTCCTGGAACGTGTTGGAAATGGAGGGGCAGAGGAATGTCCAGGAAAGTTGGAGGAAGATAGGATATCCTGGGAGCTGTGCCGATTAGTTTGTGTTCCCCTGGGTTCCTTTAGTGCGCCCCCCCGCAGCGGCGCCCCGAAGACGGTGGACGGAGGACCACGAGCGGCCAGCGACGGCCACGAACGACGGCGACGAGCGACGGGCGACGAACGCCACCGAGCAGGCGACGCCGAGCGACGACGACGAACCCGTACGCACGACGACGATGCACGAACGGCGACCTCGCGACGACGGTGACCACCTCGGCGACGACCACCACTCTGGCGGAGACGACGACGACGTGCCATCGTCGGGGGACCAAGGGGCCCCCCTCCTTCCCGCTCCCCCCTGATGGATCCAGCAAGGCACGAGGGGGCAGCTCTTGCTTGTCTGGCAGACGCTTCGAGGGCGGCCCGTGCTCGGGGGAGGCCGCCGCCCCGCTCGACGATGCGCTGTCAACCAGAGCCGCAGGGTCTCCATTGTTCTGTGCACCTCAGCTTTGTCGTTGGCTGCAGCTGCGGGTGCGCTGCGAAGCTCCCTCGGGCCGGCTCACACGAGTCGGTTTTCCCCGCCCGCACGTCGCATGGGTGCCTCTCCCTCGGGGGGGAGGAGGGGGAGAAGGAGGAGGAGGGGGAGGGGGAGGAGGAGGAGGAGGAGGAGGAGGAGGAGGAGGAGGAGGAGGAGGAGGGGAGGAGGAGGATGAGGAGGATGGCGGAGAAGGAGGAGGCGGAGGAGGGCGGAGGAGGAATAGGAGGAGGAGGAGGAGGAGGAAGACGAATAATAATCATATCAAAAGGAAGGGGAGGAGAGGAGGAGGAGGAGGAGGAGGAGGAGGAGGAGGTGGAGGAGGAGAAGTAAGAGGAGGACGATGAGGAGGAGGAGGAGAAGGAGGAGGAGAAGGAGGAGGATGAGGAGGGTGGGGGAGGGAGAGGAGGAGAAGGGTCCCTCCCCCTTCCCCCTGTCCCCGCCCCTGTTTTGCCTTAAGGGGGGCCAAGCCTCGGGACGTGCGGGCCCTGGGAACAAGCGGGGGATCGGGACGGCGTCAGCCCGGGAGGGCTCCTGGAGCGTCGGTGCTGAGCGGATCCCCCTCTCCACCTCCTCCCCGTCCCCGCGGGGGCGTCCAAGAGGGGGGTGCGCACTGCGGGGGGGAAGGCATGCCATGGCTGGGGCGATGCGATCTCCCAGATGCCATGCTCGTGTCCTTGCAGGTGCGCCACCGTGCCCCCCTGTCACGCTGCGGCGTGCTACTAGTGCCGAGTGCTGCCTGGCAGGGCCTCTGTGATTTCCTATGTGGCCCCCCCCGTCTGCCCGCACCGGCCTGCATGCCTCGCGCCCCCTCCCGAGGCCCCACAGTTATTTTTTGTTTTTAGAAAAATGCGACAGGGTCGCGCGCCCGAGGCCGCAAGCCGTATGCACAGTCACGTGCGGCAGACGTGCGCTCCCGAGGCCGAGCTGCCTCTCACACGGCATGGCTCCAAGACGGCCTCCGCGGGAAAAACACACACACACACACGCACACACACGCACACACACACACACACACACGAAAAAAAGACACGCACGTGGGAACACACACACACACACACACACGCACACACGCACACACGCACACACGCACACACGCACACACGCACACACGCACACACGCACACACGCACACACGCACACACGCACACACGCACACACGCACACACGCACACACGCACACACGCACACACGCACACACGCACACACGCACACACGCACACACGCACACACTCACACACGCACACACACACACACACGCACACGCACGCACACGCACGCACACGCACACACACACACGCACACACACACGCACACGCACACGCACACGCACACACGCACGCACGCACGCACCCACCCACACACACACATACATACACACACACGTGTGTGTGTGTGTTTTCCCACGTCTGTGTGTGTGTGTGTGTTTGTGTTTTTTGTGTGTGTGTCTGTGTGTGTGTGTGTTTTGTGTGTGTGTTTCCCACAGCCTCAAGACGAGTCAAGCTGGCTTCAAGACGGCCCAGAGGTTCTCCCGTGGGACCCAAGACGGCCAACTAGAGGGCCGTTCGATGGACCCAGACGGCGCCAAGACGGCCCCACAACGGCCCCCAGGCACCCACCGTACGCAAATATATCCTTGAGACGGCCCCAGAGGGCCCCCAGAGGGCCCCAAACAGACTAAGGGGCCTCGAGACGGCCTCAGCACTCCAAGACAGCCCAAGATGGTCCCCAAACTGCACACGAAGGCCCCCAGGGGCCCCCAAGACTGCCTCGCAGGAGGTCAAGACTCTAGACAACCACAAGGCGACCCGAACAAGTTTCATGAGAGCTGGTCCACTTGTGAAGACGAACGGTGTCACCTGTGACGGCCTTCCCATTCCTCCAGCTCCTCCTCCTCCTCCTCCTCCGGCTTCTCCAGCTCATCCAGCTCCCCCTCCTCATCATCATCATCATCATCATCATCCGCATCCTCCTCACCCTCCTCCTTCACGTCAGCCTCATCATCACCACCACCACCTTCATCATCATCATCAGCAGCGTCATCCTCATCTTCTTCATCATCACCATCCTCATCCTCTTCCTCATCCTCGTCCTCGCCCTCGTCCTCATCCTCATCCTCATCCTCTTCATCGTCGACGTCGCCGTCGTCGTCGTCATCGTTATCATCAGCATACGCATCAGCATCAGCATCAGCATCAGCATCGGCACCATCATCACCACCATCATCATCACCATCATCCATGTCGTCATCGTCATCATCATACTCATACTCATAATCGCCATCATTATCATCATCCATATCACCGTCATCTTAAGTTCCACCACCATCGTCATCACAGTCACCATCCACACCGTCATCATCACCATCACCATCATCTTCGTTATCATCATCAGCATCGCCATCATCAGCATCGCCATCGGCATCATACGTATCAGCATCATCATCCTCACTACCATCACCATCAGCAGCATCATTATCATCACCATCCCAGCATCTTCATCATCATTATCATCACCATCATCATCAGTATCATCATCACCAGCATCAGCAACATCACGATTTCGGGCGTTGCCCGTATTCGGTTCTCGCGAGGTAGACTGCACTGAATTGAAGTGGACTGGACTGAACTGACTGGTCGCAGCCGATACGCGACGGGCTTATTCTCGGCCGCCATGAGCGCAACCTATGGCGCAACCGATAGGAGACGTCTTTATTCTCGGCCGCCGAGGGCGCAACCTATGGCGCAACCGATAGGAGACGGTTTTAGCCTCGGCCGCCGAGGGCGCAACCTATGGCGCAACCGGTAGGAGACGGTTTTAGCCTCGGCCGCCGAGGGCGCAATTGATGGCGCAACCGATCGGACACGGTTTTATTCTCAGCCGCCGAGGGCGAAGCCTATGGCGCAACCGATAGGAGTCGGTTTTATTCTCAGCCGCCGAGGGCGCAACCTAGCCGAGGGCACAACCTATGGCGCAACAGCTAGGAGGACGAGGAGGAGCACCACGACGACGATCAGGACGGGGAGGAGGACGGGGTGGAACACGAGTGGTACGAGGACGAAGTGTGGACATTCGAATACGTGCGGGGCTACGCCAGATTTATGCTCGCCGTTTGGGCTGGCGGTGGGGCCCACGCGGCGAGTTGCCTTGTGATTATTATGTGTTGCTTGTTTTCCGTATGGTTCTGAGGAGGTGCGTTCTCGACCCGCGAAGCAAAAAGTGTTCCGCATGCTTATGAGTACTGTTAGTATCATGGATCATGGATCCCCCAAGCCTGGGGGCGCGAAGCGTCACACGTGACGGCCTCCCGTGCCCTCTCGAACAGTCGCCACCCACAATGCTGGGCTGGCACGGTGGAGGGACTTGCTGCAGGTAGTTGGATACCCCGACGACGGCAGCGCAAGACAGAAAGTCTAGCGGCCTGCGGCCAGTCCGACCACGGTGTCTGGAGGCCTCTCGGATGCTCGAGTCCTCTCGGAGGCCTCTTGGAGGCAATGTTGTGGGAATGTCTTTGGGCCTCCTGGGGGCCTCCTCGGGGCCTCCTGGGGACTGATTGGAAGGTCTTGGGCGCCTCTTGGAGCGTCTGGGGGTCCCCTTCGGGAGCCAGTTTGGGGCGCAGCGCGAAACGTCAGTTCGAGTTCCCCCTATGTGGGCCCTCCTGGGTCCCTATTGGGCCGTCGTGTGCCCCTCTTGGTCCGTCTGGGGGCCCTCTTAGGCTGTCTTCGGGCGACCTTGGAGGCCTCTGAGGCGATTTGGATCGTCGGACGCGCGAGATGAGGAAGGCGAGAACGCTAATCTCTTTCAACAGCCCACGGGACATGCATGGGTTTTGCCTCTCGGAGCCCTCTCGTCGGGAGCGTCTTGGAGCTCTGTTGGGGCGTCTTGGGGGCCGGTCGGGTCGTCTCGAGGCAATTCTGGGGCATTTTTAGGAGGAGGAGGAGGAGGAGGAAAATGAGAAGGAGGAGGAGGAGGAGGAGGAGGAGGAGGAGGAGGAGGAGGAGGAGGAGGAGAGGAGGAGAAGGAGGAGGGGGCTCTCTTGGGTTCTCTTGGTGGTTTCTGGAGCCTTCCTGTCGTGGCCCGTTTCGGAGCCCCCTGGCCCTGGAGAGGCTCGCCCGAGCGTTCGCTGGCACACCCAGAGCGGGCCCCTTCGAGTCCTATAGACCGGGAGTCGTTGCACGACGCGCAATTGCAGGAGCCCTGCGACACTCCACTGCGTGCTGAAGCCACGGTGGCGGATAAGCACCGCACATGAGTGAGAAGCTCTCCCTGTGCAAACGCTTGTGAGGTCTGGAGAGGCTCACAGGCGTCGCGACGGAAGTGGTGAATTGCAACAGCGTGCGGAGCCTCGGTGCTGACGTCTTCTCCGGGAAGGTGCGCTATGCGTGAGCAGATCCCCCCGACGCGGGGGGAGCTGTGACGCGCGGGGAGGGAGCCTCGCGGGGCCTCCTGGGCCGACTCACCGCCGACGCTCGGGCTCGCTCCGCCCGCCCGCCCCTTTTCCAACGGAACATTTGTTTTATCCGACCTGTTGCCCAGTTGCCACTCTGCCGGAGGAGGAGGAGGAGGAGGAGGAGGAGGAGGAGGAGGAGGAGGAGGAGGAAAAAGGGGAGGAAGGAGGAGAGGAGGATGAGGAGGAGGAGGAGGAAGGAGGAGGAGGAGGAGATGGGGAGGAGGAGGACGAGGAGCACAGGAGGAAAGGAGGACTGGAGGAGGAGGAGGAAAAGGAGAAGGAGGAAGGAGGAGGAGGAGGAGGAGGAGGAGGAGAAGGAGGAGGAGGAGGAGGAGGAGGAGGAGAGGGAAAGGAGGAAAGAAGGAGGAGCAGGAGGATGAGGATAGGAGGAACGGAGGAGGAGGAGGAGGAGGAGGAGGAGGAGGAGGAGGAGGAGGAAATGATGATGATGAGGAGGAGGAGGACGAGGAGCACAGGAGGAAAGGAGGACTGGAGGAGGAGGAGGAGGAGGAGGAGGAGGAGGAAAAGGAGGAGGAGGAAAGGAGGATGAGGACAGGAGGAGGAGGAGGAGCAGGAGGAGGAGGAGCAGGAGGAGGAGGAGGAGCAGGAGGAGGGGGAGGGAGGAGGAGGAGGAGGAGGAGGAGGAGGAGGAGGAGGAGGAGGAGGAGGAGGAGGATAATGAGGACATGGAGAGGACGATGAGGAGGAGGACTAGGACGAGGAGGACAGGAGGAAAGGAGGAAAGGAGGATGAGGAGGAGGAGGAGGAGGAGGAGGAGGACAAGGAGGATGAAAGGAGGAGGAGGAGCAGGAGGAGGAGGAGGAGCAGGAGCAGGAGCAGGAGGAGGATGAGGAGGCCAGTGGAGACAACTACGGCTCCCCCCCCGGCTTGGCTCAAGCCCGCTCGGACTCGGCCCCCAGAGTGGTTGCCCGGGTCCACCCTGACCCATCCTTCGACCAGCGGCGAACCCAGTCTTGGCGACGAGAAGCCTCTAGTTGGCCTTAAGTCGGGCCTGTCCCTCCACTGGAAGAATATTCAGAAATAGTCAAGCAATAGTCTGGGGACGATCTCCTGGGCCTGGTTTAGCTATGTTGAGGAGGGGACAATTTCTGAGCCTTTTTTTCTGAGCCTCTGGGGACGATTTTCGGAGGAATTGGTAGGATTGTGTTTTTTTGTTCGCTCAACATCCCCCTGTAGGGGGACACGCCCGACCCAAAGTTGGCCCGACACGACTGCAAGCGCTGGGCAGCGGCGTCGCACCGAGGAGGGCAAGCGGGAGGGGGCACGCCCTCTCTCAGAGAGGGTGGCGGGGCCTCTCGGGAGCCCTCGGGCCTCCTGACAGGGCACCCTGCGGCTTCGGAGGCTGGTTTTTCGAATTCCCAAAACCAGTCCTTTGGATTCAAAGCTCGGTTATCTTTGGGTTCCCAAACCAGCTTCGGGAAGCTCCTCCGAATGTTTGAGGCGTGCTGAGGCTTCTGGAAGGCCCGCCTCCCTTCTCTCGGGAGGGCAAAAAACACACGGACACAATCAATCGTCGATCCCCCAGAAAATAGGGGAACATATGGGAAGTGGGGGACATATGGGAACTGCTTTATTTGTGTGCAATTATTTGTGTGTCCTGGGGCCCCTCCCTTCTCCCCTCGCTCCACCCCCCCAGAGCGCGCCGCCGAGGGCAGGGCCGCCACCAGCTGGGGGGGGCCCAGCGCGTCGGCGTCCTAGGACTCCAGGGCGCCCTCGTGCGACTCGAGGGCGCCCTCGAGGCCGCGAAGTAGTTATTCGCGCTTCGCGGTTCGGCTCCGCTTCCTCCTCGTCCTCCTCTTCTCCCCCGGGAGGCGGCGCGAGAGCGCGAAGCTATTCGCGTGTCGCGCTTCGCGCAGCGCGAAGTGCGAAGGCGGGAGCCCTTGACGACTGGCCCTTCTCCGATTCTCCCCGCTGCCTCTGTCTCGCCGCTGCCCCTCGCCCGCCGGCGAGGTCTCGGACTGGGGCGCGTGGTCCTCTTGCGGCAGCAAGTGCTACGGCGTCAGCGAGCGCAGCAGGAGCAGGGGGGGGGGCGCCGCCCTCGTGCCCAGCCCATGCCCCCCCCCCCTCCCATTCCATCTCGCGGTCGGATGCATTCGACCTCTTCCCCTCGAGGGCTCTGTGCACGACGGGGGGGCCCCTGGGCCACCTTCGGCAACTGGGGGGGCCCCTGCCGCGCCGGGCCCGGGGGCCGTCGAGAGCAACGACTCGGGATGAAGAGAGCTGGCCCCTGGAGCGAGGGGGGGGGGCCTCGACCTGCGCCCTCCGCAACTGCCGCGCGGCAGGTGCCGGTGCTCCCGCGGCCGCATCGCGGCAACATCTTCCGCGCGAAGGGTGCTGACGGAAGGTGCGGGTCTCTGGACACCCGGAATGGGCACGGAAAGAATGGGTACAATGCCCAGCAGCAGTTCTTGTTCATTTTGAGCAGGACTCGCTGTCCACGCCGCCGCGGCCTGTATCAATTCGAGACAGAAGGCCGCCTGCCCAACAGCGGCCGCTGTTGGTTTGCGACAACATTTGCTGTTGGGCATTGTACCATTTTTTCCGTACCCATTTCGGGCGTCCAAAAGGTCGAGGGTCGGGCCGAACGAAAGGGGGGGATGGGGAAAGGGGGGGCTACGACATTTGCCGCACGCAGCTGGTTTCGGCCCCACCGAGGGGCCCATTCCTCGACACATGGCCGCCTCTGGCGCCGGGAGGCGCCGGGAAAATCAGCTACGCGAGCTGATTCTCAAACCCCCCCGTTGCTGTCCCCCCCGTTCGCCCGGCGCGGGCGAGGGAGCGCGGGCCGCGAGGTAGCTGTGATGGGTCGAAATGGGTACGGGCAGAATGGTGACGCACACCGACAGCAAATTCTGCCCACTTTGAAGCGGAGTCTTATGACGTTCCAACCTACTTTAGCCTTGATCACCAGAATGAATTTCGAGCACCAGGAAAACAACCCCTAACATCGAGGGCTTTCAAGTGTCGGGCCCTGGGAGACACTCTTTCGACACTGCTTCGATACCCTTTTCGACACTTCTCTGGGTGCTCGAAATTATTTCTGGGATGCGGTCCTTAAGTAGGATGAGAGCAACATAAGCGGAGTCGCCGTGGGTGTATCCGCGGACGGAATCCACTTGAGGCAAGAGGCTGCCTGCCCAACAGCGGTGAGTGGGTCGAGGCATCTGGGGGTCCACGCTGCGAGATCATCACGACACCGGGGGGGCCTGGGGACGAGGCCCATCCACAAGGAGAGGGCACCCGGCCCACCCGCGCCCTGAGAGCGGAAGCCAGGGAGCAGGCGTGGGCCAAGGACCCCCCGTGGTCGCGGGTCGGACGAAGAGGGGCCGGGGATGGGGGGGTTTCGCAATCTGCTGCGTGCAGCTTGTTTCGGCCCCGCCGCCGGACGCTTTGCTCGATGCACGGGCGCCGCCAGCGCGCAGGGAGGCGCCGGGAGAATCAGCCAGGTGAGCTGATCCGCTGAACCCCCCGCCTTTGACTATCCCGCGACCAGGTGCCTCCGCCGCGCCTCCCGGGGCGGGGAGGGAGGGCGCTCGACAGGGCCCGCGGGGGGCGGAGGAGGGGGGGGAGAGGTGGGCTGCTGAAGAAGGTGGGGGAGACAGATTGGCTTGGGAGGGAGGTTGGGGGGGGGAAGGCGGCTTCTGGGGAAGGAGGGGAGGAGGAGCCGGAGGGAGAGGAGGGGGGCGCGGTCGAGGGAGAAGCAGAGGCCCGAGGCGAAGCTCTGGGAGGGCCGCGAGGCCCGCCCAGAGAGAGTTCGTGCTTCTGCACTTGCCTGTTCCTCCATGGGGGGGAGAGGATGAAGGGCCTGACCTGAAGTCGGGCCTGTCCCTCTACAGGAGGAGTACTCGAACATAGTTAGAAAACGGTTTTAGGACGTTTATTGTTGTTGTTGTTGTTTTGTTGGTTTAGAATCATTTTGGAGGATGTTGTCGGTACTCTGCATTGTTCGTAGAGGATTTGCCTGTAGGGGAACATGCCTGACCTACGCCTGACCCCTGATCCGCCATACTTTGGGCGAGCTTATAAGTGTGACGAACATGTGCGCCCTACTGTTCGAGCTCCTTTGATGCCGGTTTCCGCCCCACGTTGCCGTCGATGTTTGCACCATACCTTTGTGGAAGCATCCGCCCTATTTCTCTGAGGCGGAAGTTTCCCCTCCTTTCTTGCATCGTTTCGGGTGCATTTCCGACACATGTTGAAGCCGTAGAATCAAAGGGAACACGGCGGATCCCAAGTCACGGAGGGAACGCATGGAATTGGGGAGGGACGCGCGGGCTTCCCGAGGAAGATCGTCAGCGATGCCGCCTACGGGGGCGCGCAGTGCGGCAACGAGTCCCTCAGGACTCCAGGGACGGGGTGCCTGTTTCCCCCCCCCCCCCCCCCTGGTATCCTTGGTTGTGCCCGAGTTGGTCTGGAGACTCTGTGCGGTATGTGGTTTGGTCCAGTGAGCTTCTACGTGCCCGCTGGCTTTCGAGATGCACTTAGACCGCTTATGGTTTTGCCCCGCAGCGTGTTTTTCTGTGTTGGCGCGAAGAGGGATCTTGTCTAGAACGACCTCAGTCGGCGGCATCCCAACTACAGCACGCGCAACGAGAAATCTTATAGTATATGCGTCGTGGCGTGGCATTTCTGGCCGTACCGCTCGGACAACAATATACCACACAATGGTTTATACTAGATGTCCGGGTCGGACGCGCGCCTCCGAGGAGGACTCATAGTACTAGTATGTCCTTCTGCGTCCCATGTGGTTTTGGCCGACCTCAGGCTCAGGGGAGTCCATCAGGACTCCCCCCTCCTTGTTTCGGGTATCCCCAAACGGGTTGGCGAGCTGGTGCTGGGTTTTCGTGCGTTCGTAGGTTCTCGAGGGTTTTCCTGCCTCGGGATACCTTCCTGCGGCTGCGCCTCGCTGAGAGCGTTCTGGGGGTGGCAGGATGATTTCGAACGACCGCTGGAGACCAGAGTCTTGGCCCGGTAACTAAACATTCGGGGTCACGCGCTGTTGAAGCCTCCAGTAGCACTCCCGAGAGGATCCCAAGAGGCCAAATTCATTGATTTCCCGATGGTTGTTTTAAGATTTGGGCGTTCTCGCCTTTCCAATTTCCCGCCGCTCCAATACGGGACGGCGCAAGAGACCCCCAAGATCGCTCCAAGTCGGCCCAAGAAGCCTCCTAGATGGCCCCGACAGCCCAAGATCGGAAACTGGAGCATATACATTACCAGTGGCGGGCTGTCATTCAATCTCCGGTTTTTCATTGTCGGGGGCGACATCGGGGTGGTGTGATGTATACTTGTTCCCCGCTTTCCAGGGGAAACGACGAAACATGTATACACCAGGATCCCGTATACACCAGTATCCGCTTTCCTGTGCGAATTTCAGTGCGGGGCTGGAGCAAGCGCCGCTGTATAGAGTTCGGCTCCTTACAAGAGAACCCCAAGACAGCCCAACACGCTTCCAAGATGCCCAAAAGGCCCCCAAGACGGCTCCAAGGGCGTGGCCAGACGGGAGACCCGAACGGACATTTCGAGCCCTCGGCCCCGAGAGGCTCCCAGGAGTTCCCAAGAGGTTCCCAAGAGGCCCCAAGAGGCCTACAAGAGGTCCCGAGAAAGCCCGAAGAGGCCCCCAACAGGCTCCCAAGAGGCCCCCAAGTTGAGGACTCTTGCCCACGTCAGCGTCGTCGTCGTTGCCGCCGCCGCCGCCGTCGTCGTCGCCCTCGCCGTCGTCGTCGCCGTCGTCGTCGTCGTCGTCGTCGTCGTCGTCGTCGTCGTCGTCGTCGTCGTCGTCTCCCCTCAGGGTTGGCAGCACCGACCGTAAGGGCTTCGCAATCAGTAGGTCAGCCGTCACATATTTTAACCACGCACAGCTGTTATGGAGCTCATTGCAGCTGTCGTGTGCGTGTGTGGGTATCATGTGGTGCAGCCCTTGGAGCACCTTGGGGCTTCGTCGGAGCGTCGTCTCGCCGTATCGCATGGCTATGACGAAGCACTTGGGGACCGTCGTTGGGCTGTCTTGGCGCCGTTTCCGTCGAAACCTTGCTGACGCCGTAGTGGGTCCCGCAAGGACCCTCGTGGGCCATCTTAGGGCCGTCTTGGATGCGTCTTCGGCCCTCGTGGTACCTGTTGGGCCATCTTGGAGCACAGTTTGGGGCTCTCTTGGAGGCGCATCGTGGGCCGTCTTGAAGCAAGATTCGGCCATCTCGGTGTCATTGGTTGCTTGCGCGGGCGGTCTTGGAAGCACGGGGTGCGTATCCATTGTTTTAAGGAGCGATCGTCGTGGCTTGGGAGGCCACGGAGCCCTTGGGAGCAGCACCCGGGAACGCGGGACATTCACGATCCTCGAGCGGGTGCGCGTGAACGAGAATTCTAAGAGGGAGCAGCCATGCGGGAAGTGCGCAATCCTCGTGCTGTTGGGCATGGAATGAGAGTACACGCATTCGTCTCCATGCGGGAAGGGTACCATCCTCGAGCGGACACGCGTCGAACGGTGGATCAAGCATTAACTGCCGTGCGCGAAGTGCGCAATCCTCTAGCGGGCGCGCGTGGAAGGATGGCTCAGGCATTAGTCGCCATGCGTGAAGTGCACCATCCTCGAGTGGGCACGCGTGGAATGGAGGATTATGCGTTAGTTGTCATGCTGGGAGCGCGCCATCTTCGAGCGGGCACGAGTGAAGTGGCGGCCTCGGTGAGCAGGGGGATGCACGCGACAGTCCGAAGGAGAGGGGTTTCCTGATCAGAGTTCAAAAACCTACCAGACAGCCTTTGGCATCCTGCCACGCCTCATCGGGCCAGGAAACACGGTAGCGGACTTGAACGTATTAGCGTCCGATTTCGTTGTTGACAAAATGAGCGTGTGTGTGTGTATGTGTGTGTGCGCGTGAGTGGTATTGCTCAATTTTTTTTGAAGCGCGTTTGTTCCATCGCGTCGATGGCGGACAAATATATGAGAGTGGACCATAGCCATTTGTTTCAAGCCGTCTTGCTTCGGGATTTGATCTCCGCTGCGGGAGCGTGGCTGACGCTGAGACCGCCGCGAGGAGAGATGCCAAGCCGCAGCGGTCGCCCGCTCCGTCGCATTGCCCTTGCCGTGGTGTCGCTCGCGCTGGTGGCGCTCTGGAGGCAGCCAGGTTCGGTTGCCAGCGTGGACGCCAAGGACGTCCTGCGCTACCCCGTCGGACTGCGTCACTCCGTGACCGCGGACAACGGGCAGTTCTCGGTGCACGGCATCTCGCAGGGGGAGGACCAGTGGGCCCTGGCCCTCTCTGAGAAGGGCGGGCTGGCTGCACCTTCGCCCCTGGCGGTAGTGCAAAAGCTGAAGGGCGCCACCAGGTACGCCGTGTCCTACGACACGGACAAGTTCAGCTTCAAGCCCAGGCTCGCCGCGGGCGTGGAGGGGATCCGGTTCTCAGCCACCGGCTCGGAGGGGGACAAGCTAGAGAGCGCCGACTGGGCGCTGCGGGTGCGCGGACAGAACGGCAACCACTTCTCCGCGACCACAGACAACGGCGAGCTGGTCTACGAGGGGTCCTACACCCACGAGGAACCCCTCGCCGAGGGCCTGAGCGCACTGTACGCGGTGGATATGAAGAGGCGAGCGGGATCTGAGCTGCCATGGGGCGGGCCGAACTGGATCCGCCACGGTGTGGGCCTGCGGTACGCTTCGGAGCTCGGGGAGTTCAAGGCGAACGTGCACCAGCCCAGCCCTGACGGCCCGCACGACGGCCTGGAGTTCGAGGCCATCTACAGCGGGGACCTCGCGGGGCCCCCAGGCTCCCCGTCGTACTCCCTGGTCGCCTCGCGCGCGATGGGGGACAGCGTCGCGTACAAGGGCCGCGTGAGGCTGCAGGGTCCGGAGGGGCTCTCGGCCGGGCTTTCCGTGGGGCTCAAGGATCGGAGGTTGTCAAAGGTGCCCCTGGCCCAAGGTGCCCCCAGCTTTTCGCTCCAGTTTGGAGCCCCTCGGGCCTCCTGGGCCTCGTGAGGGGTGCTCTGGAGGCCGTCGGGGCCTCCTTGGAAAATCCTGGGGGCACCCTGGGCCACGGGCACGTCTAGCAACACCCGAAAGGATGGGAAGAGCAACGTCACCGGCTTCACCGACCTCTCCACCAGCCGGGCAGTGGCCGACGGCCTTGAGCTGAGCGCCTCCACCAGGGTGGTGGCGTCGCCGGGCGCGGTGGACCTGCGGCCCCTCGACTTCAGGGCCACCGCCGACCTCTCTGCCCTGGCGCCCGGGTACCTGGGCCAGGGCTCCGAGGTCTCCGCCAGCGCGCGCTACAAGCTCGGAGAAGAGAGGCCCCAGCTCAGCGCCAGCGCCACCCTCAAGCCCGAGCCGCTGGGTCCCCTGAAGCTCAGCGCGTCGGGCCGGGTCACGGACGGCGGGCTGACAGGCTCGGTCGCGGCCGCGGCGCGAGTGATGGACGTGGACGCCACGTACACCGCCAGCAAGACGGGGAAGGGCACGCGCCACGTGGGGCAAGCCGTGTTCCCGGCAGAGGCGGCGACGGACAAGGGCGGGCAGCCGTTGCCGCAGGCGTATGCGCGCTTCACGCAGAGCTCCGAGGATCGGGGGAAAGGCTGTCGTTAATGTTTTGGAGCTCCGCGCAGATTTCCTGCGTCGGCGCTGGATCCTCCTTCCTGGCGCGCGGAGCGCGCCAGGGGCGGCCACGGAGGCGTCGCCAGGGGGTCCGGAGCCTATTCAAGGCATCCGCGCGGAGCTCCGAAGGTGTATGTTTCATATTTCTCTCTCTCTCTCTCTCTCTCTCTCTCTCTCTCTCTCTCTATATATATGTATCTTGCTCCACCAACGACAGGACCACGACGGCAAGCCGCGCCTGCAGGTCGGCATGATGTACGATTTCAACGCGCATGGCACGAGGTTCACCGGACAGAGCAACCTATACGACAACGGCGACCAGCTCGTGGACGAGGCGGGCAGGCCCTGGCCCAGCGTTATGTACAACCAGGCGAAGAACACTGCGGACGTGCTCCGCAAGCGCATCGGCGGGGACTCTGCCGAAGGCACGCAGTGGCTTCGGAAGAGCTTCTGAGCACAAGCTCGTGCACTGCCGACGTGTGTTGCCAAAAGTGTCCATGGCCCAAGGTGCCCCCCAGGATTTTGAAGGAGGCCCCCACGGCCTCCAGAGCTCTCCATCACGAGGCCCAGTGGGCGACAGGGGCTTCAACATGGAGCGAGAAGTTGGGGACATCTTTCGCCAGGGACACCTTTAGCACCCCACGAACTATTGTCACGGGCCAGGTCACACCCGGATGGCGTGCCTCAGGCAGCAGCCGGATCACATTTAAACGCTTTTAAATTGTTTGGACAGCTCTCGCGAGGTTGCCCGCGCGGAGGAGTGGAGCTCGGAGCGCGGTGTGATTGTGGCTAGCCGATGCTGTCGACGGCTTTGCGCTTGCTTCCTCCTCCCCTCCCTCCTTTCTTGCTCGCCCGACCTAACAAACTTACGGTTCCAAGGTTTCTGATGTTTGATCAGCCCTCTGTGCAGACCAGCAGTTCAGAGAGGTAGGCACATATTGAAGCCCCATGTTGGAGCATGCACCGGCGGTGGCCTTGTGGTCGCTGATTTCGAGCAACACATTGTCCGCCCTCATCCCTCCTTCCTCGAGGAGAGAAGAGGCGGCCAGAGATAGCCCGAAACATGTGTACCATTATACACTTATGCACAGGGCCGTTGGTTAAGGAATGCGCCCAGGATGCTGCAGACCCCGGAGGGTTCCTTATCTGATGAGGGCGGCGGTGATATCCATGTCCAAGCTTCGATTGGAGTTCCACCAGCCTCCAGACCCTGGATTCCTGCTCTAAGGATTCCTGATCCAATGCCCCCACCGTAACATGATATAACCAGCGTCCAGGTCCCCTAGCCCAGGGTTGGCCCACTTCTCCAAAGCTTCCCAACCACACTTGGCCGCTGGGGCTGGGCGCGTTTCTGGCTTTCTCGGGGGGTCTCTATCAGCCCGGAGATGGTCAGGAGGGGAAACAACACACAGACACAATTAATCGCCCACTCCAAGGAAAATATGGGAAAATATGGGAAGTGGGGGGAAGACACAAACTAAAGAAATATTGGAAAATATGGGGAATCATGTTATGTGTGTGTATTTATTTGTGTGTCCTGGGGCCCCTTCAGATGGGTGAAGACGGCCGTCGACCGCCTCAAGCTGGCGCCAAGAATCCCCCGGGGACCGCCAAGACCAGCCCAAGACGGCGCTGGAGCGCCCCAAGATGGCCCTGGATGGCTTGGGGCGGCCCCATGAGGACCCCAAAGACGACCCAGGAGGACCCCCCACGAGCGCAAGAGGCACACAACTCATCGATAGACCAGAGATCCTTGTGCGACTGAGCGTCCTCGCTGCCTCGGGCCTCCGACGTCCCAAGACGGCTCCAGGAGGGGCCTTCCGGATGGGGCCAAGACGGCCCCTGGTGGCCCCAGCATGGCGCCGAGACGGCGGAAGAGGGCCCCAAGACGGCCCAAGAGGGCCCCAGGAGGGCCCCAAGACGGCCCAGGGGGGCCCAAAGACGACCCGAGATGGCGCTAAGAGGGAATCCAGAGGGGGCCGCGAGGGGTTCTTCTGGGGGGCGATCTTTCGGGGGAAGGTGCCCAGCATGCCTCCCAGAGGTCCCCGAGAGGCCCTGAGAGGCCCAAAGAGGCACTCATGAAGTCACCAAGAGGCCCCCGATAGGCTTCCAATCACGCCGAACGACATGTTTTAAAAAGGCCCGAAGAAGCCCCTCAGAGGCCTCGACAAGGGCGCTCAGAGGCACCCGACGAGATTTCAATATTTGTCGAACATGCTTCTGGTACACACACACAACCTAAGCGCAGTGGAGGGATCGGCCGAAGGAAACAGTGCGGGCTCGAGAGAGAGAGAGAGAAACAAAACAACTAAAAAGAGAGAGGGAGAGAGAGAGAGCGGCAGAAAGAGAGAGAGAGAGAGAAACAAAAAGAGCGGCAGAGAGAGAGAGCTACACACATATATGTATGTACACACCAATGGAGAGAGAAACTGGAGAGATGGAGAGAGATGGGGAGACTGAGGAAGGGAGAGAGCGAGGACGAAAGAGAGAGAGAGAGAGGAAGAGAGCGAGAGAGAGAGAGAGCGAACGAGAGTGAGAGACAAGACAGTGATGAGAGAGAGGGGGAGAGCGAGCGAGCGAGCGAGAGAGAGAGAGAGAGAAAGAGAGCAGAGACATACATGAAGAGGAAGAGTGATGAGTGTGGATGCGTGTCAGGGAGGAGGAGGAAAAAGAGGAGGAGGAAGAGGACGAGAAGCAGACGGCCCCAAGACAGACCAAAGAGGCCTGAAATGTTGCCCGGGGGGGGGGCGCGACCGCCCAAGAGGCCGCAAGAGGCCTCAAAAAGGGCCTCAAGGCAGCCTCAAGAGTCTTCCAAGATCCCCGGGAAGCTGCACAGGCGGCCCCAAAACGGCCCAAGAGGTCCCCCACGGCGCCTTTCCTCCTCATCCTGTCCCTCTTCTTCTTCTTCTTCTTCTTCTTCTTCTTTGTCTTCTTCTCCATTGTCCTCTGCCCCCGTCCACCTCCTCCCTCCACCATCCCTCTTTCTTGCTCACGCCTCGTCTGTAGCGTCCTCCGCTCCGTCCTCCATCCTGCCTCCTCCCCCTACTGCCTCCTCCTGTCCACCTCCTGCCTTATCCCTCCTGCCTGCTCCATTATCCTCGCTCCTTCTCCAACTCCTGCCCCCCGCTCCCCCTCTCCATCCCTGTCTTTGTCACTCTGCGTCCACCCTCCTCCCTCTAGGTACCATCCTCCATCTCTCCCTTACGTTCCCCTCCTCTCTCCACCATCCCTCGTCCTTCTACCACGAGGAGTTTGGGAGCACGGTGTGTCTTGGCTGTGGTTGCATCGTTACCCAGGCGGTGAGGAATTTGAAGTAGGAGTGCCCTCATTTTTTGAATCGTTATGGCAAGCAGCTTTTTAGCTAGGCGCAGCAAGGACTGCCTCCAGGTACCTCAGAGCTTGCCACGACTCGTACTCAGAAGAAGGACGCCCTGAGACAAACTGGTCAAATCTGCTTGTGGCTGGGAAGAAACAGCCACATCCTCCCTGCTCCCTCCTCGGTCTATGGCTTCCGCTTGCTCCTTCCTCCCTCCGCCACCTCGTCCTTCCGCCTCCCTGCCGAGAGGAGGCCAACACCGCCCGAGAGAGGCAAGGCGGCTCAGATGGGCCGCCGTAGGCCCCGAGAGGTCCCCGGGGGCTCAACACTGGCCAGGAGGCCCCTTCAAGGCAGACCAAGACGGGCCCAATGCGGCCTTCCGACGCCGTGCGAGGCCCACAAGACGGCCCAGGATGCCCCGAAGTCGGACGGAGTAGATTTCAATGTCGCGTCAAAAGGTTCAAAGTTCGCTTGGCAGTCCCCGGGACGCCCCAGGAGAGCCGCTAAGAAGCTCCCAGTACAGAAGAGTCACATGGTCTGCTAATGCTTTGCAGGGCTCAATCTTCACCGCTTTGTCGGTTTGAAGAGCGTCCAAGGCGGCCCAATCAACCCCACATATTGCCCGAATTCGGCCCGAACAGCCCCGCAAAGGCCCCTAGCTGGCAGAAGATTGTCCAAGAGGACGCAGTGCCGCCCGAGCGGATCCCAGGACCGCCAGACAGGCGCCAAGATGGTCCCCAGACGGGCCACAAGAGACCCCCAAAATGGCCTCGAGGGCCCCAAGACGACCCGAGAGGCTTATAAAACAGCCCAAGCGTGACTTAGAGCGCCCCGGGAAGCCCGCAGAAACCCCAAAAGGGCATCCCCGAAGAGTCCGTGGCCATTTTGGCGTAAGTATTCGGCTCATCGTGCGGACTTCTGCTGGCTGGCAGCCATGCTGCAGGATGCAATGGGACGTTCATTTTCGCCGTTCTGAGCTTTGCACGGCGATCGTGGCGCAATCTCAATTGTGCGATCTATGTGTTGCGCAACCTATGAGGTGCAATCTGTGGGATGACATGTGCAATCTCTGTTGCGCAACATCGGTTGTGCAATCGATGTGGGGCGGCGACGGCGGCATCAAGCGCAGCGACCTGCAGACAGGCCAAGACGCCGGGCGGCGACAAGGCGGCGACGGCAGCTACATAGCCGTCAGACCGACACACAAGCCCAGTTCATTCGAAGAGAAGTACGAGCCCCTAAGTGCAAGCACTGTTTGGGGACAGTGCAGGAGGAAGGCGCAGGATATGTAGCAGAACGATGCATGGATGGGAGCGGTGAGAAAGGCGGCGGAGGAACGATAATTTGTTCAATGTTTACGATGGTCAGGCGCAAAGGAAGTGTATCGAAGTCAGCCTTCTTGGACCGTCTTTCCGCTCTTCGGGGGCGCCCTTGCTGATACTCCTGAATTCCACGGCGGCTCCTCCATCTCATCACACACGGTGCCTGTGTGCGTTAGCCATCTGGGTCACTATTTCACCAAAGCCACACGAACACAGCCAGATCTGTCCAGCTTACCGAATATGACGGTCAACGCAAGAAACCAACATTCTTCCCAACGTGGGCCGTATATCTGGATGCAGTGTAGGCCCATTGGTAACTCATCAAAAGCTGGTGGCATCTCAAATTTAACACCAGAGAATGATATCTTGCACCGCTGGTAATACGCATCCCAGTACAGTTGAGCATTTTTGAACTCAACACGAATTCCGTCGCGATTCCAATCCTTTTGTGTATGATGGGGAGCCAGGCGATATGGATCATTGAAGCTGAACTCGAGGTACAGAAGGTTGATTTGTGCACCCGGGCGCAAACTTTCGTCAACGCGTCGAACAAGAGCTTCAATTGTGTTGCCCCTTTGATTTGAATTGAGGTCTGCCAAAGGAACGCCGTTGTAATCAGGCCGTGTCACACAAACCCGACGGCTCAACACAGCAGATACGCGAGGGTTTGCGATGGGCATTGCTAGCAGTCGACAATAGCCATTATGTGAAGCATCGGGCTTACTCAACACAATGTCCAATGCATCAGACCAGTCCTCCACACCGCGCTGACTGGCGAGGCTGATCTGGTGGCCCTGGGTCTCGGTGCGCTTTCCT